GAGGAGGAGAAACCCACTGAAGTAGCCACCGTCGCAGCTCCGGTGGAGAAGGCTGATGAGTAAATTTGAAGATAAAAACTGTCTTTTGAAAGACAGAAGAAGAAAAAAACGTTAGCAAGTAAACTATTTGTTACTTTTTAAGTACTTTGTGTCTTGTTTTGTTGTTGAGTCTATGACTCTTCTTGCTTTTGTGAATCAAAACTATTAATTAAGGTAAGAAACGATCCTTAAACCAGAGTTTTTAGAGATGGTAAGAGGCCCATACGTGCTCGAAATTGTGACAAAACAAATTGGTTAGTGGCTTTCGAAGTTTGATTGCCTAGGTTTCGTTTAGTCTTTAGCCTTAGCATGCATTGTGATGCATCAATTGGCCCTTTTTGCATCATAGTTCTGGCCCAGCCTCTAGTTTACATCTCCATTGATTCAATATTTTGACTCCTGTTCATTGAACTGCTAGTGTGTTTGGTTTCATCATGACTGTAGCATTGCCGTACTATGGCTTCAAATGACCACAAACATTCGTATACTAATCTTGTTTCTATAAGTCTCTCTAGAGATGATATTGTGTAACGTGGATTACTATGACAGTAACACAAACCTTTTTGCTAGCACCTATCTCGGGTATTATGACTGACATATGTTGGGGGTGTTTCAGATTGGCAACAAGATCATAAGGAAGATGGTTCATGTGTGTGTGGAGCACATGCAGCAATCAACATGTATTGTCATGAATCTTTGTTTTTGTATTAAACACCAAATCTTTCTCTTGAATGTGTTTATCAACACTTAAACACCAAATTCACTTGTCTCTTCTATATCTATATTTTCAAAACACTCAAACACCAAACTTTATTTTAAAAAAATAATTATTTTTAAGGACCCCTACCATTGGACAAGATAATTGTTAAGATAGGTAGCTTTTTTTTTGTTTAAGATGTAAGATAGGTAGCTCCCAAATTTTTCACAAAAGGATAGTTTGTTTTTGAAGAGTTTACAAATTCAATTCCTAAGATTCTTTAAATCCTGCTATAAGCCTATAAGTCATGTATCTTATGTTACTTATAAAAAGTATTCCAAACTTTTAATGATACTTTTGATGAAATATTGCTGTTTTTACTCTATCTTCAGGAAATAAAATTATTTGGCCATTTTAGCCGTCCAACTCTTTTGCCTACCTTTACAGATGGGGATTACGTGTCTATACCCATTTGTTGAAATAAAAATTAACAAATTGGTCACAACAAATTCAAAAATAGCGATAGAAGTTTGATAAAATTTGACACTTTTCATTTTCCAGTGGCGCAGACAATATGATCCGTCCTTTTTATTATGATAGTCGTTTTCAACTTTTTAAACTACTTAAATTATTTAGCAACCTCTTTTTCTGCTTAATAATCACTGTAAATAGAATATAATTAACATCGGCGAGAATTTGGATCTGACGTGGCAAATCAGACCGGCATATGTTGGGCCTACTAGCAGGTGGAGTCCTATATGGCAAACAGTTAGGTGTCAGCGACAATGAATAAATCCAAGTGACTTGTCGCCACGTCGTTATTTCTGACTTTTATGGGTCCTACCCTCCGGCCTATTACTTGTCGTTAACAGTCCACGTAGATTATTAGCATGGAAAAGGTCGGAAAAAAAAAGCAGTGACCTAAAATAAATGTTGGGTAAAAAGATAGATAGCTAGAAGAAAATAAAAATTCAGGATACAAAATAAAGAAAGCAAAAAAAAAAAGTCATGTAATAATGCGTTTAATCAAATATTTATTCAAATGAAATTTTTACATATTTAGCAAAAAAAAGTTATTGTGTTATGTACAAGTTCATCGTACGGAATATTCTAAAAAGTGAAATAAACGGTCGAGTTTTTAAGCATCTATAAATTGTAAAAGATTATTGTATCTGTTGGAATTAAACGATTTTGTTATTTAACAGAGTTATACGGTTTAGGTAAATTATAGATGCTCTTGAGTAGTCCTAAACGAATAAAAAACAATTCACAAGTAATTTTTTTTGAGAAATCGACTTGTGAATGTGTTTTAGTAAAACATAATAGAAAGTTAGAAAACAAATTATTTGAAATTATATGCGAAAAGATTCATATTCACTAAAATGTTATTTTCAACACAAATTCAGATTTCAGTAAATGATTCCATATATTCCCGCATTAAGAAAATCATAATCTATAAATCAAATACCTCACTGAATTTTTTGGCTTGTCACAAATATCTACATGTATGCCGACTTATGAATATATTGAGGTCAATTCATATGTTTCACCGGATATATACAAACATATATTCGATATAAAGTATGTACTATATTTTTGGTGATTTTACATTCCATGTGATATCTTATCTGAATCAGTAAATAATTTACTTTTGTACAATGTTAAGCAAACGCATAAGTCCAAATGCTAGAGTGTATAATATCGGGTAATTTTGTTAGTTGTTTACATTTTCTATCACTCATATTCTATCTCAATTCAAACAATAAGAAATATGTAATTCTAACTTTGAAATGATCGATCTACATATAGCCAACTTAAAACGGTTACCATCTATTACACCAACATTCTTAATAACATTACCAACTTATAAATGATCAACTAATCTTCTATGAATAATAAAATTTTCCAACCACCTATCGATCTCACCGAAACTGTTTTCGGAGGGTTCAACTTTTAAAAGTGGCAAATTTGATGATAAAAATAGTAAGAAGAAAGAAACGAACAAATGGTACGTGAATGTCTTAAACACCGTTTTAATATATCTTGTTAGAATACAGACCAAATATATATAGATATATATATATATATATATCTTGTTAGAATTTCTCTGATTCTTGTATGACTATTATAAGATGTTTCTTTATAAAAATAAATCTAAGTAGTTTTTTTTTTTTTTTTTTTTTTTTTTTTTGTGCACTTAAATCTAAGTAGTTAAACATTAAATCTTGATATATTTTTAGTAGGAAGAATCGATGAAAATGATTTGATATTGTTCATAAAAAATTTATACTATTATTTAAAATACTATGAAACAATATTATTTGTAATTACTTGGCACACAGATTTATCTATTGGGTTCATTTCTATTTTAGCCAATACGATCGATGTTCATACTATATATTGTAGCCATTATATTATACTTTTAATCTCAATTTTTCCGTACTTATGTCATTATATTGTTTCATGGAACATATTTTTCATCCCCAACACCACTTATGAATAATCAATAACTAACAAGACATTTAGCGTTATATGATTTTTCATATAATTTATAAAATTAAAATTTTAGATTTTTTTGGTGTAATGAAAATTGTAATGCACGGTTCAATCAACTCTTAGATTAAAGACGATTCCATATCATTAATATTCATTACAATACCATCAATTTTCTCCTGACCATCATCACTCCAAATATTCATATATAACTGATTAATTCTATTTCTATCAAACAATAATTCAGTTTATTTGCTTATGAAATAAAAAGTTAGATTTAAATCTTTAATATTCACAACAAACGTTAATTGCAAGTGGTGTACGATCTGTATATGATATTTATTTCTTATACAATCACAAACTTTACATGATGTTTCTTGGGCTATATTAATCTAAATACATAGAAGATCTAAAAATTAAGAATATACCTCTGATTTTTGTATTATTAGTTCTCTCACTTCAATTTGTGTAAGTTGGACAAAAATGCCCTTCCGCGTATAACTAACTGTTTAACAATATAATGAAATAGTTATCGACAGTTTATTATCAGATTCCGATGATACTGTTCAACAAATATTTAGTAAAAAAATATATGAGTTAGATGATTATCTATTGAGTTAACACGGTAACAAAATATATATATCAATAAGTTTATAAACATATCGTGTTAAATCATATGTTATCGTGATAAGTTTATAAATTATGTGATAAATTAATATTTATCGTGTTCTCATTTATTATATAATATAGAAAAAATAATGAGTTACATGTAGTATAATATTTATGTAGATAACTATTTGATTAACATGTTAAGTAGTATAGTAGCGCAATAAATTCATAAATTATGTGTTAAGTTTTCTTTTTACGTGATATAAGACTACGGTAAATAAAATTGTAACATGCTAATGTTTTATTTAGCAAAGTCTCTCACCATTTTCCTAAATGAGATGTTTTGTTACGAGAAAATTTTGGTTTAATCGATTTCATAACTTTGAAAATCCGATTGACATCAATTGTGGTGGACTAGAAATTTTAGGCGAACCCGTGGATGGACTAGATCTAAGAAAAATCCCTCTAGCTCAACTCCGAATCAAACAACGGTCTCGTCGTCACCATCGTCTTTCCTAACTCTCGACAAAGTGATAGCCGTCTAACTGAAATTAGATGACGTACGGTTAGAATTGAGTGTGTCGGTTATGAAAATAAGCTACGGAAGCGGCCGGAGCTCCAATCATCTTCATCACATCTATGTCCGGTAAACCACTACTGTCACAAATGAATCACACAACTCCCGATTTTCTTTTCCAGCCAGCTTTTGATTTCAACATCTTTGATTTGATTTGGTTTTTTATGTGGCCATTGTTATTCTCATGGTCTTGTGTCGTCGGAAAATTTAATATCAACGAAGAAACAGAATAAAGAAGAAAAGAGGGAAGAGAAAGTGAAGGGATAAAATAGTCTAAAAAATATTTGCACAGTGACCAACTGGTCAAACTAATTAACCAGTCTTCTATAGATACAGATTGTAGATTCCCATGTTTCTTTAAACAAATATACAACAAAAGCTTCTTTTCTTCTCTTTTTTTTTCTCAACGAAAGCTTCTTTTCTTCTCATTAATTATTTATTGCCAGAGAATAATTATGCTCAATACGTGATTTTTTATAGGAAATAATTCTGTTTTTAAAAAGTGATTCTATAGTTCTTTTTTTAATTGATAAAGTTGTAATTGTTTCTCCTATAAATAAAGCCATCTTCTCAACCAAACTCTTCACTCACCAAAGCATCACACAACACTCACACACACTTTCTCTTATCTTATTTCCTCAGTTCTTATAACTCTTTTCCACTAATTCAAATGGCAACCGTCGAGGTATGCATTTCTTGAAATTTAAAACCAGTAGTCTAAATCAAAACCGGAGTATAAGTATTCACTTGCTTTAATCCACCTATGTGCTAAAGTTTACACATGTATATCAGTATATAATGATTTATATAATTTATTATGTAATTGAAGGCTAACTAAAATAGACTACATGCCGTTTGTGTAAAAAAAACGTCACGCGTTTTGAATTGATCTATGCTTTGATGTTTGAAACAATGGTTTTTGTAGGTTAAACAAGTGGCTCTAGTAGCAGGTGAAAACATCGAGGTCACAGCAGTCTCCGAGTCTGTCCCAGCTCCGGTAACAGAATCTGAAGAGCCTGTCGAAGTAACAAATAAAGACTTGCTCATAGTAGAAACAGAGAAAGCTCCACTTGAAACTCTGACGATGGTGGAGGAAGAGAGCAAAGCAGAGGAAGTTGTAGAGGCGAAGAAAGAGGAAGAAAAGAAGACAGAGGAAGCTCCAGTGGTTGTGGAGGAAGAGAAGAAGCCAGAAGCTGAGGAGGAGAAACTCACTGAAGTAGCCACCGTCGCAGCTCCGGTGGAGAAGGCTGATGAGTAACTTTGAAGATAAAAAACTGTCTTTTGAAAGACAGAAGAAGAAAAAAACGTTAGCAAGTAAACTATATGTTATAAGTACTTTGTGTCATGTTTTGTTGTTGAGTCTATGACTCTTCTTGCTTTTGTGTGTTTTTTTTTAATTGTCTTAAGTATTTTCAATGGTTATCATTTTGAATAAGATATACATTATGTTATATAAAGTTTGTTTGATCCAAGACTTATGATCTGAGAATCCAACAACTCACATAAAGAGAATCAATATGGTAATGGTGATTTTTGAAATCATTATGCTTCTTTGAAGCTTCAGTTTCTTAAATGACAAAATTTTGGAAATCCAATTGCATACAATCAAATAATTTGCTCCTAGGATCAACTAACGTTAGAATTTAAGGTCTAAGCGAAGTTAAGAAAGGAGAACAACAACTGCTGAGGCACACCTACTTCTCTCAAAGCCGATAGATTTCGGATTTTGTATTATGATCCGTCCCTTTTATTATGATAGTCGTTTTCAACTTTTTAAAATACTTAAATTATTGATCATCGTATTAATCAAGTATGATTCTGACGTTTTTATGTTGACATTAAAAATATAATTGTCAACTGTGAATCGTGTCAGCCACAATGAATCAATCCAAAAGACTTGTCACCACGTCATTATTTCTGACTTAGCATGGAAAAGATGGAAAACAAAGAAGAAAAAATAAAAGCACTGACCTAAAGTAATTGTTTCTCCTATAAATAAAGCCATCTTCTCAACCAAACTCTTCACTCACCAAAAGCATCACACAACACTCACACACACTTTCTCTTATCTTATTTTCTCAGTTCTTATAACTCTTTTCCACTAATTCAAATGGCCACGGTATGCATTTCTTGAAATTTAAAACCAATATTTTTTCGTTAGTCTAAAGTTTGATTACCGATCCAAGCAATAAATCAAAATCGGATTACTATATAATTTGTATAACTTATTATGTAATTGAAGGCTAACTAAAATAGACTACATGTTTTACCAAAAAAAATAAATAGACTACATGCCGTTTTGTATAAAAACAAACGTCACGCGTTTTAAATTGATCTATGTGATCTAAGCTTTGAAGTAATGGTTTTTTGTAGGTTGAGAAAGTGATTCTAGTAGCAGGTGAGCACATGGTGGTCGTGGTGCCAACAACAAAGGCGGTGGAGTCGGAGGAAACAAATAGACTCGTGGACATAGTAGAAACAGAGAAATCAATCGAAGAAACAGTTGAAACTCTGACGGTTGTGGAGGAAGAGAGCAAAACAGAGGAAGTTGTAGAAGAGAAGAAGACAGAGGAAGCTACAGCGGTTGCGGAGGAAGAGAAGAAACCCACTGAAGTAGCCGCTGTCGCAGCTCCGGTGGAGAAGGCTGATGAGTAAATTTGAAGATAAAAACTGTCTTTTGAATGACAGAAGAAGAAAAAACATTAGCAAGTAAACTATTTGTTACTTTTAAGTACTTTGTGTCTTATTTTGTTGTTGAATCTATGACTCTTCTTGCTTTTGTGTGTTTTTTTTTAATTGTCTTAAGTATTTTCAGTGGTTATCATGTTGAATAAGATATACATTATGTTATATAAAGTTTGTTTGATCCAAGACTTATGATCAGCGAATCCAACAATGAGATCAATATGATAATGGTGATTTTTGAAATCATTATGCTTCTTTGAAACTTCAGTTTCTTAAATTACAAAATTTTGGAAATCCAATTGCATACAATCAAATAATTTGCTCCTAGGATCAACTAACGTTAGAATTTAAGGTCTAAGCAAAGTTAAGAAAGGAGAACAACAACCGCTGAGGCACACCTAATTCTCTCAAAGCCGATACAAAGGTAATGCACAAGTATGAACTAAGAAACCCTTTATTAATTTCATTCGGAAGCTTTATCATCGTGCTTTAATGATTTCATTTGGAAGTTTCTCTTCTTCTTTCCAATGAAAATAGCCATCAACTCAGCCACAAGCTCCTTGTCATTCTGCTTCCTCACATACCTTTTAACGAAAGCATGATCGGTACATGCCAAGACAGACGCCATTGAAGGGAGTTCGCTTCCAAGCAATCCTCTGGACATGAGTGCTTTGATTACGTTACACCTTGGTACAATCCTCTTCTCCAGGCTGTATCCAAATACCTGAGGGAACAAAGTAGTGTCCTTTAGTGACCAATTAGTCTTCTTCACCACAAACTCAGTCTTCTTTTTCACCGTCTCTGCAGACAATCCAAAGCACATAGGAAAGCATTTGACTATCATCGTAAACTCATCTCTGCTGAATCCTAGACCTAAAAATGTTTCAATGAAGTTCAATATCTTCTGCTGTGACATACGTATAAACTGCGGATACTTCTTCAACACTTGAAGGACTTCGTTTTCGTCCAGACCACACATCTTCAAGGTTTCAATCGTCTGAGTTATCTTTTCCTCTGAGAATTTCAAAGAGAAAGGCCACTTCTTGAACATTACCCATACATCTTCCACAGCAAAGCCTAACCTTTTGTAAACATGGACTTTTTCTTCTATTGTTTTGCCACTCAAATTGTAAACAACGTATAGAGCTTTGACAAACTTTGCGGTGGTCGGATCAAAACCCATCTCAACTATCTTCTTGAGGGATGCATCAAATCTATCTTTTCCACATACAGGTTGACCAACGGATGTAAGCAAGGAGAATAACAACTTCTGAGGCACACCCAATTCTCTCAAAACCAAAACATTTCTGATTTTATTTTCCTGCTTACTACCTTCTGGCAAAGAATGACACAACTTTTCAAACTTGGAACTCTTATCCGCTTCTACAATCTCTTTGACGATATCATAGTATAAGCTGAGAGTTTTGTCCCCTCTCTTTCCCAAGATTTTAGGAACTGTAGAAACAATCTCAGTGAGCTCAAAGCTTGAAGCTCCTCTGGACTGCAAAAACCGAAACTTGGGACCAAGTGATTTCTCAGCATCTAATATAAGCAATGTTGGATAATCCGTAATGATAGTGGAGATCTGAGAATCTGTGAACCCATGACTTCTCAATAGACTCAGAACAGAATCGGGATTGGCCTTGTTCTCGAACCTGACTTTCCTTGAAATCGATTCAGCGAGCTTTTTAGGTAAACCCAATGAATCAACGAGGTAAGAGATTGTAAAGTTCTTACCTTTTCGACCATCTCTAAGGCTCACATCAGCAGCAGAGGAGAAGGAATTGGAAAAAGCAGAGAATACATTTTCCAAAAGCTTCACTGAAACACTAAAGTTATGCCATTTATGTAACTCGATAGATCTTCTTCCATGGAGTATCAGAGAATACATGACAGAACCAGTCAAATCTCTTCCGATTCGAGGATCAAATCTCAAAATCTCAGAACCCTAAAAAACGCAAAGAACAAGATTTTGGAGAGGGAAAACTAAATCTGGGTTTTAGATTCCGACATCAGAGTATTGGGCCTTTTGAGCCTGATCGTTCAAAATTTATGTTAAAGCCCATATTGATCTAAATCTATTAATTACGATTGTGCCATTCTTTCGTTATGGCTTTGCTTCCTTTTTAAAGTTCTTTTCACTATTAAGAATGTACGGACAACGAAACCCTCTACATTAGTAAGACCATGTACATGGGTGATACTCTAAAAGTATCACAAGCCCATAAATTATTTTTATATAGACAAAACAATTAGAATGGGCATGATTAGTATCAGCCCAATGATACTTTTGATACCAGTATCATCTAACGTGGCATCCTCTGATTGGTCGCGTTTGCCAAAAGTAGGAGAAACAAATAAAAAACATTAAACAAATATTATAAATAATACTAAAAATTTCGTAATGATACTTTATGAGTATCACCCATGACCATGCTCTAAGCTTTCACTGTTTGTTGTCTAGTCTTTTCAAGTTTCAAGAAAATGTCATGCAAAAAAAAGTTAAATACATAAGAGAACAAACAATTTCACGGACTCTTTTAGTTCGGAGACAGTGATCATAATCTGTTTATACTTTTAGTCACGGGCTTGACCTTGAAGTTTGCATCGGACCAACAACGATACAAAAAATCTTTAGTTGTAACGCAATAAAATGCTACAATATTTCTCGAAGTTTGGAACATTTTTCTATTTCTTCACTTTCTTGCCTTACACATGTTCATTTGTACGTACCATTACAAATAATAACATCTATTACACTTATTATAAACACTATACCTATTTATATACATAGTGGTTTACACCCATACAAGAGTCACGGGTCACATTTAAGCTTCACCTATATATTTACATGTTACTTGCCCAAAGGATTTGACAATAATGCACTAAGAGTTTGATTCTTGAAAAAAATTTCAAGAACCCTAGTAATAATAATAATGGGTTCGAGAGTTTTGGCTTCCTTCTTTGTTTTCTTGATCTTCACGGTCATCACATTGCCTCCAACGATCCAAGCTTGCACTCCTTGTACTCGTCCTCATCCTCCGGTTCCTAAACCTCCACACCACGGTGGTGGTGGAGGCGGCAGTGGAGGTGGTGGTAGCAAGCCGCCGCCACATCACGGTGGAAAATGTGGTGGTAAACCCCCACACCACGGTGGAAAAGGTGGGGGACCGCCGCATCATGGTGGAGGAGGAGGAGGGAAATCACCGCCGGTTGTTAGTCCTCCCCCGGTAGTGGTGAGACCACCGCCAATCATAAGACCTCCTCCGGTTGTCTATCCACCACCAATTGTGAGGCCACCGCCAATCACAAGACCTCCCATCATAATCCCTCCCATTCAACCACCGCCGGTTACAACTCCTCCGGGACTTCTCCCTCCGATCACAACTCCTCCGGGACTCCTCCCTCCGGTCACAACTCCTCCGGGACTCCTCCCTCCGGTCACAACTCCTCCAGGACTTCTCCCTCCAATCATTAACCCACCTCCGGTCACAATCCCACCACCATCCTCCGGCTATCCACCGTATGGTCCACCTTCCGGAGGAGGAGGAGGCGGAGGTGGCGGCGGCAAACAACCAACATGTCCGATCAACGCATTGAAGCTTGGAGCTTGTGTTGACGTTTTGGGAGGATTGATCCATATAGGGCTTGGAAATCCGGTGGAGAATGTGTGTTGTCCAGTGTTACAAGGGTTACTTGAGCTAGAAGCAGCCGTTTGTCTTTGCACAACCATAAGACTTAAGCTTCTTAACTTAAACATCTTCATTCCTCTTGCACTTCAAGCTCTCATCACTTGTGGGATCAACCCTCCTCCTGGTTTTGTCTGCCCTCCTCTCACTTGATCTAAAACATCCCTTGATTTAACAAATGTACGTACGATCAAGGGTTTAAAAGGCTTTGGTAATAATTTAAATATATATGTGGTACTTTTAATGATCAGGTTTGTTCATTATCTAGGGTTTTAACAAGTGTTGCTTTTGGTTAATGTCCTTGTTGTTATAATTAAGCTAGGGTTTTAAATTTGCATGGCCTTCTTTAAATTTCTTTTGCGTAATCTTTCGTTTTGTATTGTTCCAGCTTCTCGATCGCTGTCTATCCATTTGACTATTTAGTCTCTCTCTATGACTCTATCTCTACATATATAGGAGTTTGTGTGTATTGCCATGCATGCAGATATGGGAATGTGTGTGGATCGTATTCGTACGGATAAATCTTTTGAGAAGAGAACTGCTATATTCCTACAAAATCATTGTCTTTTGTCATAAAACACAGCTAAACTCCTACATCAAGGACATTTGTCCTTATAGATGTCTTTGCATTATTCTAAGGCAAAATCTATCATTACTTTTCTAACAAAAATATGTATCATTATTAATTACTTAGGTCTTGTTGTGCGGTGGATTATTTTATTTATTTGCTGATAATTAAATAGATCCTCATAAAACATGTTAAGATTGTTTAGTAAATATATGTGAACCAAATTAAAGTCGTATGGAGATATGTTTCTTAATAAATAAAATAAAAAAAATTGTGTCAGGGCCAACATATATGGTCTATTGTACCCAACTACGAAGAACAGCTTGACTAGTTAAGGGGATCTTGGCAAAGATATGAAAATGATTATACGTTCGATAAAAGGAGCTTCAAGCTTTCGTCACATGTGAAAAAATAAAACTGCATGTAACTTCAGAAAGTATAAAAATACAGAGTTTATTTCGTTCAAAAAAAAAATACAAAGTTTACTTCATTGTTACAAGTTGGTCTATTTCACGAGAAATTATTCACAATGTGTTTTTTTATTTATAAAAGTATTATTTACCAAAAGGAAAAGAAAAAAAAGTATTATTTACCAATGTGTTTCACTATTCAAATCCAAAAATGCACATAAATTCTACTGTTCCATAGTCTATGTACCTACACATAATAAAAAAAAACAAGATATAATTCTTTACACAAGTTGAGTAAGCAAAAAAACAAAAATAGTTCACGGGCTCCATATAGATCCATTGAATTTTAATTGTTCATTAGGGGCCATCCAACTCGGAAATGACAGGAAACACATTCGTGGCATAAAACCGTAGTCTAGCCATTTTAGCACATAGAATGAAAGTCTCAATTACTCTTTTTTTTTTTTTTTTATCAAATTAAACAAAAATTGTGTGGAGCAGAGATACCGACTAAAAATATAAATCGTGCCAAAAAAAATTTAATCATTTGGTTTGACGTTAAAATTAAGATTTTCTTATAAAATATTATTCATAGCTCATAGTCTCATATTTGATCCGTTCATTCGATTCCATGTAGTCAATTAATTTTTCCTAGACAACTTATATAGTAACCTGTCGTAGTGTATTCACAACATCACCCGAGAGATTAGACTCCACAACTTAACAATTTCTATCAAATGAATCATCCAAAATTTTCATCAATTTTCTAAATGAATTGTGATATCATGACAGCTTTACAGGTCTAAATTAAATGGTTAAAATAGATTTGTATTTGGTACTTGTGGACCATAATTTTTTTTTTTGTGTAACATCTGCAATAATTTTGTTATTATTATATAGAACTGCTTACATTTCTCTTGTGGTCCAAAAAAAAAATGATTTTATTCTTTATTTTCTTACCGAGATAATTGTTTTTTTTTCATACTATTTGTCAAATGAATTCATTAGCTGGAAATTAAATCTGGAAAAGTATCTAGGGATATGGGGAAATTAAACCCCTTGTTTTTGTTCTATAAAGTTGACCATCCATCAAATGGATTCATACTTGATTATTCCATATATATATACACATTTTTGTTAATTATTTGATTTATTCGAATCCATATCCATTTGCCAGTGTCACTAATATGATAAGAGGTGGACACAGTTTTCTAAATATCTAACCTGATGCGTGACATGTTCCATATCAGTGTTTATTTCTCTAAACTTCTTCTTGTGTACGACTTTTTTGGTTAAAATACAAATACCGTAGGTCCTCTAGAATTTTGTTTAAAATACGAATTTTGATCGACACGGATGTACGTAGTTCATTAGGCTTGAATTACGATCATGAATTGGTTCCGTAACTTCAGAGATTCTCTCCACGATTTCTCACTATATGGTCTTTCATTCGTTGTGTCGAGGCTTAGTTATGTCTTAGACTTAATTAGAACCACACGCCTGTATACGGATGATGAAGACATTTGGTTGGACTTTAGTTTTTGCCATAAGCCTAGCTTCTTCTTGCTTAGTTTATTTCTAATCAACGATGAGCCAATTTTCACAGCTTCTTCATTATTGAGACCTTTTCTTGTGCCTAAAGTCTTTCCCTCAATTTTGATGGTTAAGCCTTTGGTTTCCAGTTTCCACACAAGGCATTGCAGTCTTCAAATTATATGGTTTAACAGAAATCCGATGTGCAACAATAAAATCCATATCTACCTTATAGCTTTGAAATGATTGTGTTTTAATTTGTGTATTTAGCTTGGACGTAGATATTTATTTTATATAAATATTGTAAGATTATAGGATATATTAAAGATATTATTTATTGATAAGTGATTCACACAACAACAAATACACACCCCAATGAAACTATATAAGAGAAAAAAAAAAACCACTTAACTGTGAAGTTTAGAGTCGTAGCATTCATACACACATGCATAAGTACTAGAAGAACACATAAATACAAGAGAAACAAAGACAATAATATATAATCTTTTTTGTTTATAAATCATCTTGTCTGTCCAAACAAGAAGATTATATTGACATGTTGTATAATTAGGTTATTGATTAGCATTGGAAGCCAGGAGGAACCTTTTTGCTACAAACATTGAGAAGCAGACTGAGAGAGACTGGGATGTTCAGGTTGATACCGAGGATGTTAGCCTTGAGCGCGGTGCAAAGACAAGCTGCAGCCTCAAGATCAGCGAGTCCTTTGATGAGGGTGCAACATGGCTCGACCGGTGGCTTGCCAAGGGTGACGTTGAGTAGGCCGTTGAGTACGTTGGCGCAAACTCCTAGCTTAAGGGCGTCTCTAGGGCATTTGGCTGTGGCCGGGCTAGGGCTTGGAGTTGGCTTGGGTTTAGGGTTAGGTTTTGGCTTGTGAGAGGGGCTAGGTTTTGGCTTGGGAGAAGGGCAACCGCACTTGCCGCAGGCGGATATTGTTGTGAAGAGGAGGAAGTTGAGGATCAAGAAAAGGGCTAATGATTTTGTGGTTCTTGAAGCCATTATTAATTCCTCTTTTGGTTGGAGAGAAGAGAGATTTCACAAGAAACACTTTGCTTTGGTGTGTGTGAATTGGGATGAGGAGATAAATGGAGGCTTTGAAGTGGCTTTTATAATAGTTTCAAGGACATGCCGAGATGGTTTATGACCTCATATATGATTATTTTTAAAAAAATATTGGTGAAATTCTGGATTTTTGATTACTTGATAAAAGAGTTTATTTGGTAAACAGAGCATATAAATGCTGATTCTAGACTCTGGATTCGAGAAGATTCCTCCAACTATTTATATGATTATATGTATGATATTTTTGTATTATATATATATATATATATATATATATTATTCAAGTGTTAGATAATTCTGCGGTGGCAATTGACAAATTAAAAACCTGAATAAATATTTTGTTCTTTTGTATATTATTTTGGTAAATAAGAAGTTTGCACCTTAGTTTCATATAAAATTTATTTTTTCAAGAAAAACATATATTTTCTGGGCCGGGGTAAGTAGTTCAGTCAGTATATATAGCTAATAGTTTTTTATGGAAAATAATAAAGTCTATTTTATTTTATCTTGTTAAAGATTTTTTTTTCGCGAGTGATTTATCTACATAATCTTTATTCTTTTGTCTCAATATTAATTATTTTAGTACTGAATTTCTCGTTATATTTTTTTACAATTAGTATTGAAATTGAAGGAAAATGCCAAGATTGAAACCGTGTGGTCCTTGGGCATTGATCTGCAAACAACAGAAGGTGAATATTTGGAGTTTTGTTAGGTTCTCCAGATTATGATAAAACTCTTCTTGAACTTATCCTTTAGGTAATGTTATTAATATATGAAGTCGCATTATTAATCTATGTATGAAAAAATTCAATCTAATTGCTCTATAACCTAGGCATATCGTCACAAAGAAGACGTTCTGACATATAGATATACTTCATCTGTATACTTTTTAAGCAACTTTGTTGTATCTTTGTTTCGATATCCAAAAATATATGAAAGTTCTTGAAAACATTACAAAAAAAAAAAAAAAAAAAAAAAAAAATTTACCAACGTTGAGTTGGCCTAGTGGTAAAGGGGTTGCAGCTGTAACTATCGCCACCTGGTTTCGATTCATGGTGGGAGGGACTATTTACAATGCTTGGGTTCCCGGCAAAGAGGTGAAACCACCTTTTTCTTTTACCAAAAAAAAAAAAAAAAACATTACAAAATTTCAAAATTTTGTTATTAACTTTTGGTTAACCATATTTTCAACGTATTATTTAAAGACGTTTGGAATGTAAAAGATGTCAAGTCGTACGTAATTTTCAATCTCCAGACATTAATAGTTCTCCAGAAACTCCAACTGCGATGTTCTACTTCCATACATTAATGTTAACAAAGAAATAAACATTTCTAACCGTGATGTTCAATCTCCATACTTTAATGTTTTCAAAGAAATTTAACATTTTCTTCAGGATATGTGATAGTGGAGCTGATTCTCTTTGTGCTCTTCACGAAACAACTGAAAACAAGATAAGATGATGAGAAATACATATGAGGCCTACTTCACATAGATTACTAAAGATGTCTTATTTACAATTCGTACACGTGTGCATTGATGATAAAAGATTATCCATTCTACAGATTATGAAGTTGTGTGTCAAACACATTTATGATTTCTGTACACAAAGATTTTATGTGGAAGTCAATTTAAACATTTAGCGAGATATTAAGAATAATCTTGAATTATCAAATTTTATAGTTGTGAACTTGATTTTATATGTGGGTATTTTCGGTTGTTATTGATTTTAAGATTTATTTTTAAAAATGATTCCGAAGAATTTTCTCAACCATTCTTGTCTTTGACATTTTTTATTTAACACCAAACAAAAATAAAATATCAACATTATATTTTATTAGTGTAATAATCTTAATATTTACATGTACAATGTGTCAATATATGACATAGTGGAAACTAATTTGGTTTATCCTCTTTAGTAGTATCATGCTTGAAACCTTTCTCTCATATTCTCATATGTTTGTAAGTTGTAACCAGATATATGTTTAATCGTCTCCCTTCCACTCTCTAAAAACTGTAATATTTACGTTTTTAATTGCAAACCTTTTATCAAAAAAAAAATATATGGCATGAGAAAATATTTTTCCTTCACATAGTATAACAAAACCATGTTTTTTATTCATTTGCAGTTCCATGCTTGACAGTTGACACTATTGAGTACATATTTGTGTCTAAAACATTGGGCCTTCGCCCATAAAATTGGCCCAATAGTTCAAGTATTGCAGAAACCCATGGGCGTTTTTAGCTACCCACTTGGACATTTGGACTTACAAATGTATTAACCTTATCAATTTTAATACATTTAACCAATTTTTATACATTCTTAATCCTCAAATGTAGTTCATGAAGACATAGATTAATACCTTTAATCAATTTTAATACATTTTTTTTACGAAGACATCCTTAAATTTATTATATAGATAAATGTGCACAGAGATACATCTAGCAAAATAAAACCATACCAGTAATTTAAACATGTATTCATTGTTTTGTCATTAATTGATTTGCAGGATATTTGATCGCCTATATAATTCAATTAATTAGGAATCAGACCACACATGTGTGACAATTATGAAAGAGTGCGATGCTAATTATGATTATATTGTACCTTTTGATTAATTAGAAAGAGATGGTTGGAGATTATAACAGTATGTGAGATGTATATATGTGAATTATTGAGATTCAAAATCATCAATAAATATACTTTTTTTGGTCAACCTCTGCATAAACAGCGTACGTTCTTGTCAGCGTAAGTTCTTTGAATTCTTGAAATATGGGCAAAAAATGTAATTGGTACATTAAAAGCTCTTTAAATTGGATTGCATCATCAAGTGTTGATAGATTCTAGCTTTGATAGATTTTAATTTCGAAATCCACTTTTTAAATGAAACCAAACCATTTTGGAAAATGTACAAGATAAAAATACTAGTAGTAAAAAAAGAAAAAAGACAAAAAAGAAATAGTAGTAGTATAATATTGCACGTTAAAACTGTATATATTACTCCCTCCGTTTCGTTTTAGTTGTCGTTTAAGGTTTTCGCACATAAATTAAGAAAATCATTAAATTTTCTGTTTTACTCTTTATTAATATATTTTATAATTTTTTCATTGGTCAAAACATTAAAACATTAAAGACAAAACATAAATTTTCACCAAACATTTGCATTGAAAACCTAAAACGACAACTATTATGAAACAAAATTTTAATCCTAAAACGACAACTAAACTGAAACGGATGGAGTATTCCATATAGTATTAAAAAGTTTATTCACAGATATTTCTGAATTCAGACGACAGTTGTAAACTCCAAAACAATAAAATCTGAACCTTATTAATTATTGAGCTTTGATTTTTTAAAAGGATTACTTTTATTCTAATTTTATTATATTTATTTCATCAAATAATCATCATAAATGGAATTAGTTCTACAATTTAAACCAACCTCTTACGAACTTAATAGCCAATATTGTACCAAAAAAAAAAAACTTAATAGCCAATAGTTTATTAAAAACAAGAGCGTCACTAACAAAACCGTAATGTGGAAAAATAATGAAATAAATTATTTTTCATGTTTTGTATTAATAAGTTCATATTAATATGTATATATATTATACTTAATTATCAAATACAAATAATATCCTACAATTTTTTTGAGATATTCGAGTTGTGCCACTCCCAACTAGAAACTAGCTAGTGTCACATTTTAACTCTCGCTGAAATTATTTGGCTCTTTCAGGATTATCTACGTAAATTGGTTATTGAGAATTAAAAAACAAAAAGGATGGTTAAAATTTGAACACCGTTCCCGGAGGAGACCAAGAAGATTCTTAGGGCAAAGCGTGAAGTTAAAAGGCTGTCGAAAAAAAAACATTACAATTACAAGCTTACATCTTTCACAAAACCCTAGTTTCTACCCAACCAAACTTCCTTCTTGGCTCTCCTTTTTATTTCAATTCCAAACCCCATCCATATTTGATTTATTTATTTACTTACTTTGGATCTTATAATCATTACACACTTTATAATATACTATTACTATTCATGCAATTTGAATATGAAAGTGAGAATGGCAAACTAAGCCCTAGAGATACTTAGCTTGCACAAAATAGTCACTGAACTTTTCAAAGTAACGACGCAACCCTAAACTTTGGAAACTATCAGCTTAGTCCATACATATACAGTATATATGTATTACTTGGTTTAGTGTATCTATACCACTTCGAACTTTCTACCAAATTTTATTGCTCTGTTTTATTAATTTAAAACAATACGTCGTGACTATATATAGTTTGTTGAGTTTAAAGTTTCAACGAGACAACGTTACATTTCTATGTTTAATACTTTAGTTATAGTGTAGTTTTCACTAGTTGCTTGTATACACTACATAAGAAGATTATATTGGAATTAATCGGAATTTTGTTAAAATGGATCTACTTTTCCAATATAGATAGTCGTTTTTAATAGATTTTGAAAATTGAAGGATGTATAGTGTGATGTTTAGACTTTAGTATTTAAATACCATGAGTCAAGTATGGACATGAATTCAAACCATTTATGATTACGTGCGGAATGGGAGTATGTATTATTCTATTGTTTTGTTTTACTTTTTCGTAATTGTTTACTAGAATTGCTTTAATTATGTGTTTACATATTTCAACGTTGTGGCCTCCTCATGTTACTACACGACCCACTCTCCCAAAAGTTTCTTCACTATTAAAATATTATTTTCACCATAAAATTTCAAGTATAGTATATACCGTTTTTAATGCATATTTTTTGGGGGTCTAATGTCTGTCTCTTTTATTGACATACACATTTTTTCATACACAGTTAATATCTCATTTTTACGATTTATATCCAACCAGATTAAGCTGGTATAACTCTGGCATGGTTAATGATCGAGAATCAAATATAAAATTGATAACATATATATTCGAAAAAATCCAGAGCTTTGTGTATATATGAATTCTTATATATGCATATGCATACCGAGCTGTGAATCATATGGTTGGTATAAACTTTAATCAAAGATAATACAATTATTGTCACATAAAGTAAGCAATTTTTAAGTCTCATATTTAAAATATGTCTTCTACATATACAGACATATACAACAAAACACTTATCAACAGTATAACTATAAACTAAACAATTGCTCCAGAAAGAAAAATTAAAATAGGGCTAGTGGCAATCTGAATCTTTATAATATCTAAATTTTAGACAAAACATGTAGTATAATAATTTGTGTTAGTATCATTGATATGCCGTCATTCGAATTATTCAAATTCGCATAATACATATTGTTATATATATACACATATATATTTATGGTTCATATTAAGAAATGTCTAAAATGTTATTGACCTTTACCATTCGTTAGTAAAAAGTTGTTGTTCTCTCGTTCGTACAACTTTTTCAAATGTATAAAATTAAAAAAGTTTCTAAATTATTTGCATTAAATATGTAAGAAAAAAAACTTAAATAGTATAAATCAATCAAAACAACATTTTTTACAACCGGAGGAAACATGTTTAAATTTTTTGAAATTTTCATGATAAGATATTGGGTGATACAAAAGTATATTTATATCTAGCCAACAGTGTTATATATACGCATTAATCGTTAATTCTACAGATGCTTACTTAAGCTGGACAAGGCAATTAATATGGTAATTACCAAAAAAAAAAGGCAATTAATATGGTTAGGGTAAGATTATTACTATTATTAATAGTTTAAGTTTGTAATTAAAGAAAAAATAAGAGGAAGACGACAGAGAAGAAAATGGGTGTCATTATGTGAGAATTTCAAATTTTTCAGTGCGATTTGTTTTATTAGTCCGTCGTTGGCAGCTTCCATTCTTCTATTCTTCCATTTTGTTTTTGTAAATCTCTAAATTCTAAAGATTCCTCCTATTTTTAAAGCAAACAATTATTTTTTATATTAGTAGCATGACAAGTGATTAAGATACGCATATCCTAGTGACTAGTAGACAATTTTTCTATATTATATTTATATTGTGTATATATTGAGAGAGTGTTAGTTGAGTTGATTTTATGAATTAAATTATGTTAACTCCTGAACCAGAAAGCAGCCAACTATATCTTGCAGTAGTGCAGAAACATAATATTGAGCATTGACAGACACAATTAGTGAAGTTAGATAGCTTTTATCACCTGCTCACTGATACAATGTTTTGTGAAAACACATCAGCTAGTCAGTAGTCAGATTGCATCGAACTTTCCGGTTCCATGAGAGGACAAAATAGATTGAATTAGACTTTCATTTTGGTCGAAACAAAGTTAGGGATTAGACAACAAATTATGATGCTTGCTATATTCAATGGTATAGAAAATCAGAAATACATCAACGACGAATAATTTGTTTTAGTTCACTAGCTTAAATTATGACAAGTAGAAAACTTCGAATTTGTATATATATATATATATATATATATATATATATATATATATATATATATATATATATATATATATATATGATAAATAAAAAATATATATAGATATGCGTGCATCTTTAGAAAAAGGTTGAAATGAAATCATTTTTTTTGGTATTGAATATATTTTGTATGATAGTGTTTAAACTTACATTGATTTCGAAATATTTTTTGTCATCGACTAAGAGATCCAGATATCATAATTGACTTGAATAGACATTACATGTGAAATTCTATTGTTGAGATAAAAACAAATAGAGTTACGAAGTTGACGTAGTTTAAAAAAATGTTATTTGTGTTCTTTTGTGATCCATTTATGATAAAAAGACAAGAATCACAAGACTGTACCAAAATAAAAACAATAAAACCCGGCTGTCAATTTTTATCTTACATTTATTTCCTTCTTGTTTTTCTGCATTACCTTACAAAAAATCAAAAATCAAAATTTCCATTCTTACAAAACTTTTGAAAAAAACTTAAAATCAAGAAGACAAAACTTAATATACATTCGTAGAATCATCTTACATAAATCAAAAACAAAATTACTGTTGTGAAAATAAAGCTATTTAAAAAGTTATTTGCAAATATTTTGACCAAAGTATATATATTTTTTTCAAATCATTACCAACTTACATCTTTAACAAATTTTTTTTTATATATATATCAAATAAAATAAAACTATTTCCTTTCCATTTTTGATACAACTAACTAACAACACAAAAGGAAAAAAAAAACACAATATTGGTAAAAGACAGAATTACCCATCTTTAAATATGAATGATTTTTTTAAATAATGGATAATATCGTAATTTAAACTCCCAAGTTCCGACGTACACTTTTAATATTCATCATCATCATCGCGCCATGTTGCTTTCTTCTTCTGCTTCTGTTTCTTTTCCAAGTCTTTAAAGAGAGAGAGAGAGACAAAAAAAAAACAGAGAGCTTTGGTTCCGGATCTTGATTATGGCAAGCGGGTGGGTCAAATCGTTACAATGCAAATCTAAAGCTTTCGATGATGTTTACAAGCCGATTAAAAACCCTAACCCGAATCCGAACCCGAGTCCGAAACATCTCATGTCAAGTTACAGTTGCAGAAGAAGCACACAGAGTCTAAAAGATGTGATCGAAACCAAAAAACCAAAACCGAAGAAACCCAAATCAAAACCCGATAAACAAGAACCCGACCCGGTTTTATCTCCTTCAACCCGGATCCGATCAACCGGAGTTCGTGATCGTGACCCGTTTTTACCGACGTTAATGGAGCTAGCGGAAGGTCATCAGTCGCGTAATGTGGTGGAGATTATTTTCCAGACGAGTTGGGGTCCGAAACCGTTTTCGGGTCGGGTAGAAATGATTTTCAAGGTTCAAAACGGGTCTAAGACTTTGACCCGGTTCGAGGAGTATCGTGAAGCCGTCAAAGCTAGGAGCGTGGGGAAAGCGCGTGAAGAGAACGCGCGTTCGGTTGCCGACGGGAACGAGACGATGAGGTTTTACTGTTTGGGTCCGAGTTATGGCGGCGGTGGAGGCGCGTGGGGTATTTTAGGTGGAAAAGGCGGTGGCGCGTCGATTTATACGTTCGCCGGAAGCAGTACAGCGAATGAGAAAGCCGGCGGTGGTAAAGGGAGGAAGGCAATGTTGGTTTGTCGGGTTATAGCGGGTCGGGTCACGAAGCAAAACGAGTTAAGGTATGACTCAGATTTGAGGTCACGGTTTGACTCAGTGAGTGGTGACGACGGCGAGTTGCTCGTGTTTGATACACGTGCGGTGTTGCCTTGTTTTCTCATAATCTACCGTTTGTAAAAATTCCAAAAATAAAAAAACTTATTTTCTTTTATTTTTATTTTCTAACTTTTGACATGGTAATTTCATTTATCAACGCAATTTTCCCCTAATGTTTAGGGATTTTTTTTATATTTCCAATGTATAATTGGTAGAAAATTGTGTTGATAAATGGTAATTAATTTTGTTGACAAGAAAAAATGGTAATTAGTAGATTTTCTTTCTTTCTTTCTTTCTTTCCCAACTAGTAAAAGATTTTCTTATTAAATGCGGTCGTAAATACTGAATATTTTGTTGCATTGGCTTTTACAATGCCATTAATAGATTTTATTACATAGTCAATTGTTAGTATTAACTTTTTACGGTTGGGTTTTGATTCTTACATTCAATTTCGTTCCATCTATGGTAAAATATTTGATTCACTAAAATCTCTTTACGTTACTTACACGACTACTTCCTTAAAGTGAAAGCTATAATCGGAAATTTTCAAATTTTGTAACTTTTTGTTAATATAAAATATATAATTTCAAAATTTTAACTGAGAGATGAGAGTAGTTCAAAAGAAAGAATAATCAGTGCAAAGTGATTCCCAATAAAAAAAGCATTTGTAAAAGATGTAAAGTGAAAAAAAAAAAAAAAAAAAAGAGAGAGACAAAAAGAGTAAAAATTGAAAATGAAATCATGAAAGTACATTGGATGCGAAATTGAAGAAATATAATCTTTAGCCCTGTTAGGCCCATTGAGGCCCATGAAATAATTTACGGAATTATCCTAACGAATCTTTAAAGAATCTAAAATAACCAACTAATCTTTGAAGATCATAGACCAAAAGTTCCTCTAATTTCAATCAATCATTTTGATAACTGCTATGTGTTAAAGCTAAACCAATGGAGCTAGAGCAATGTCTATAAAACCGCAAACACCGGGAATTTCGTCATCCGGATTGTCTCCTCATTTTACCTAAGAGTCAAACCTTTGTTCTTTCTCTGATTTGGTCTGCATTTTCCATCTTTAGCCTTCTTCCCCTGCATCTTCTTGTAATCTCTCGATCTCAAAATAGTCTCTAAGAGGTTTATATCTTCTCGAATCTCATGTCTAGAGAGCGATACAAGTTCCGGGAGTATCTCTTTTTGGAAATTCTTCATTCTCCTCCCTCTTCTAAGCTTGACTCCAAACTCTTTCTTGTTACTGAAGTTATCTATGGCCTTTGATGATACACAACAGAGCTCTTCAGGGATTATAGTTTCTCTTATTCCTAAAGTGTGTAGCTCAAATGAATCGCAAGATCGACCCGGTTCTTGGACACCCATCTTGTAATTATTTAGAAATTCTTGATCCTGACTTTGATTGAGAGTAACCGCTGAAATGTGGACTAAACATTCAGCTGCCATTTGAATTACTTCACATGAATCTCCACCTTCAATCTTTGAATTGTTTTCTGCGGTGCAACATGAAGCTGGAGATGCTGCACAATCTTTTTCATGGACACCATTTAAACCGCATTGATAGTCATTGGAAACCGGCTCATAAGCCGGGCTTTTATTAAGATCCAGCAAACCTGATCCATCTGAGATATTCACTTTCTCACTTTTCTTGCCAAACATATTTGTGCCATATGGTTCAATACAAATGGTATCTTGGGAACAACCAATGCTGTGGAATTCTCGGCATTCGACGCTTTCATGATTTTCAGGAAGTTGAAGATCACAATCTTTCATCAGTGGATTAAGGCAGTTTCTATTCACCTGCTCAATATCCGAAACAAAGTTTTCACCTTTCGCGGTATACACCTGAAAATGAAAGTTGATGAACATGTATTCGATTTAAAATAGTATATGGTATTCGATTTTTTACGAAAATGATCAAATACGAGTTTAAAATCTTTACCTGCTGCCCAAAAAGAGTGACCATTCTGATTTGATTCTTCTTAGAACTTTCTTCATACGATTCAAAACGTTTCTTACACGAAATTTCGTCCTTGGACAAACCGTGGAGATACATTACAACACTTATTGTCTTCTTTACTCCATGGCACGCCCCTCTATCAAAATGCAATCAAAGATGGATAATGAGACAATCCATACTCAAAACATCAACTAAATCGTAAGAATTGTGACATTGCCACATAAATTCAAACAGAGAATCGAGCTTAAACCCGAGATTCACGCCTTTAACTTCTAACATGAGAAATATAAACAACTATTGAATGTTGTTGAACAGAACCAATATCAAGAATTAAAATCAAATAACAATTTTGACGAAGATTATTTATCATGATCTTATTACAAGTAACCAAAACCATCAATCATTGTTGAAAGGTCAATATACTCAGATTTTCATAGGTTCTCAATCCAAAAATCTTAGCAAAACCTTCCTAATTCATTATTCACATAGATAGACAGAGATATTCGATTTTTCTTATTATGCCTCTATTCTAAACATGCAAATTTCGTGACACTAACAAAAAAAATGATTTTGATCATTAAGTAGTAATTTTACCGGAGATTTCAATGATGATTAACCACAAATATCCACAAAAGAACAATTTACATATATACAATGAGGAAAATCAATATCTTCATACTATATAAAAAAAAAAAAACTAATTCAAAGATAGTATAATTTTTAATGGAAAAAAGAGAGAGAGGAATCATTACCCAGATAAGAAAATTGAAGGTTCAATTGTTAGATTGACCAACAGATCTATGAGACAAATAAAAGAAGTAAGCTTAGTAAGACAAGAGATTCATGTTTAGAGATGTAATCAACACACACATATATGTGTCAGACTCAGGTCTATATGTATAGGTTATAGGAGTTACAGAAGAAATCTTACATGAGGAGCGAGAAGTGATTCTCTTTATTTTTCTAGAGAGAGAGAAAGAGAGATTGAGGATTAGTGGTTATTTTTTTTGATAAGAAGGATTAGTGGTTATTATTGTGTTAGTGGGCAAATTTAGCAAATATTTTTATGTTAGATATGTGTAAATATGTTAACTTCGATCGTTTCTATCCTTTTTCATTTTTTATAACTCAAAGCAACACTGGCGGAAAAAAAAAAAAAAAAAAACTCAAAGACATACTTCAATTGGTCAATTCATAAGAATACGAACCATACAATGGTTTCTCCATTTCCGTCAATGTTATAAGCAAAACACTTTCTTATTTCTATTGAAACCAAAATATTTTAGGTTGTAGATTCCTAGATTTTAATTTCCATTTTTTCTAACTATTATTGTATTCAGTTGTTTTTTTTCTTGTTCACAATGATTATATATTCCCTTTTGTAATTTGACTCAGAGAAAACTTGAATTGTTTATATAAAATTTTGGAAATTTAGGTAGGGTGAGCGAGCCAAAGAAATCTAATTACCAATAATAATAGATTTATATAACCTATATAAGGCAAGAAGTCAGGCCGGTTTATGGGCTCTAAGGCCTAATGTTTTTCTTTTTATCAACTTCATTAGCTTGTAAAGGCCTCAAGTTTATATTTTATTTTCACAAAATAGGGTCCAAGGCCCATTCATATTGCTTGTTTGAGAGAGAGAGAGAGAGAGTGCAACTGCTGCTAGTTATTTATAACCCAAAATTCATCTATGCTCTGTAGTAGGATTTCGTTATTCAAGTAGTGCTCCTCTTTTGTGTGTTGATTTATTATTACCCTACTTAATGGTCTTCAATTTCTTTATGTTTGCTAAAATATAGTTTCTATATTTTTTCATGATTCTAGTTTATAAAGTCATGAAATTCTACAGTACTAAGTATACATGTGAATTTAATTTAATTTATTAGTATGAGTTATACATGAAATGATAACTTGCATTCTTATTAGATTTTCCTTCAAACGTCAGCATATACGTCGGGGCATGGTGCTCGACTAATGTATTTTAGAAATATTTCCTACACGAAGTTAATAATGTACATGACTTTTGCAGGATCCCTATGTTCACCCCACACCCAGTAAAGACATATATGGATCATATTATTGATGAATCCTTATGGATAATATATTGTCGGATAGTTGTATCATGTTTATTTGTGTCAAGTGTCAACCACACATTATATTGATTCTGTATTGATTGATCAGTTGGGTAGCAAAATACGTGTATTATATCAAGACTGAAATGATATGATTTGCCGATTTAAACAGCAAACTTAATACTATATTTCACATGAAGAATTGTACCGATCAAAACCGAGGGTCCGATCCATTGTATTTAGGTGACTATTAGTTGAAGAAAAGTTCCCTTGTTTAGTTGTTTATACACTGGGTCATGGCCCGTCTCGATCAAAATGCAATGAAGGATGAAATAGACGGTCCATAAATGCAATTAAGAAATTGTGACATTCTAAGTCAAGCTAAATCTTATTTTTATTCTTTCTCTTTCTCCATTTGAGGGATGAATTCAATCAAGCAATTTAAATTATTTACGTTAAAATGATAACTAGAAACTTTAAAACTAGAAATATTAATTTTGAAAAGTATTTTCAAATGGTGCACTAAAAAAAAAATATTTTCAAATTTACTGTTACTGAAAATATTTGAAACATTAGTTTTTTTTTTTAATGTGGTTGTAGAGCTCAAATAGTTTGCCAAAAGTTAAGTTTATTGATCTCTATATATATATACTGATATACACATATTAAGTTAAGCTCTAAACATACTAATCCTTATCTCATCAACAATATAATGATTTATTACAAACTTAACCTAATTACATAACATATACTCCTTCTGTATCAGAAATAATGATTTCTTGAGTTTTTCACCAAGATTAAGAAATAATAAATTACACACTTTAATGAATTACTTTTGTGTTAAATCTTTTAAAAGTCAATTAAATTGCTTTTATTCCACTTATCTTTTTTCAATATTGATTATTTATTGTAAAAGTAAAAACATTAGTTAATTAATTGATTTTGAAAATAGAAAATAAACTACATAAAATTAAAAAAGAAAATCAATCTGTTTAATACAAGAATTAAACCTAAAAAATAATTTTTCCTCGTACAGAGGTAGAATTTCCCAACCTAATATATTGTCGGGTAGTTGTGTCGCGTTTATTTGTGAATCACATTCTGTAATGATTGAGTTGGGTTAGCAAAACACGTGAATTATGCCAGGACTGAATAATAGTAAACTTATTAATATTTCACCCCATATAACAAATGGAGCATTTTACCGATTAACCCAAGTTACCGAACGGTCCGAGCCTTTGCATTTTCAGGTGACTATATATTATATACATTAGTTGAAGAGAAATTCAAAGGTTAAATTAGATGAAAGAGAGGGTACGTGTCCCATCCAAGTGAAAATTATTTTCAAATTTTATTGAAAATATTTTAAAATTGTGTTTTTAATGTGGTTGTAAAACTCAAGATAGTTTGAGAAAAATTAAATTTATTGATCATATACACACAAATTAAGATAAGCTCTAAACATACTAATACTTATCTCAACAACGTAAGAATTTATCCCAAACTTATTCTAATTAAAAAACATATATCTCCGAAAATTCTAGAACTTGAATAGTAGTTTAAAGGATTTTTAGTTAAAAAATACAATAATTTAAGTTTCATAGTTTTAAATAGAATTTGAAAGGATTTATAACAAACAATTATAATTTTTCTAAATTCATCTAAATTTATATTCAATAACTGTATAAAACCTGTTAAAGCAATATATTATACACTGTAGACTGTAGTAGTGGTATGGGATTACCATTCAGAGCCATTACGACCAAATGTGAGTTATAAATACATAGTTCATTTTGAGTTATTTATAGCAACGAGCCTTAACTAATGTTTTATAAATACAACAATCTATATTACTATATAAGACAAGAAGTGAATAATATACAATCATATTTCATTATGAATTATTTATAGCTACGAGGCTACCAGCCTTAACTAATGTTTTATGATTGAATCTTAGATAGCGTAGATTGAAAAATAAATAATTTAAATATTGCTTGAAGACAAAGTCATATTGAATTCCAGTTACATATGTATGATTCAAAAGTGAGTATATTTAGGGGAAAAAGTGAATGCCTAACTCAAATAAATCGCGCGGCATGTTTTTATACCTCAATAAATATATAGTATTTTTTTGAACTTTAAAGTTTAAACAGTTCAAATAAACTATCTAAACTATTAGATTTGAGCGTAAAACTACATTGATTTAAACATAATTAGTTAAGCTTTTATTTTCGCTCACTTAGACGACACATCGATGACGAGATACTATTTTGTCTTAACCAAACGATGTCATTTCAGTCATTTAAGTCCATAAACTAAACAAAACGACGTCATTTTAGTAATTTGAGTCCAGAAACTCAACAACAAGATATCGTTTGGTTAAAACCAAATGACATTGGTTTGAAAAAATGACACATTACCGCCATCGTGTTGAATTTATAAACTCAAATGACCAAAATGACGTTAATATAAAATGACACTTCGTCGTCATCGTATCATTTGAGTCATCGAAAACAAATGGTTGATTAATTCTATTAAAGTTAATGTAGTTTTACGCTCAAATCTAATAGTCGGTGTTTAGACCAAAAAAAAAATCCAATAGTCTATGTAGTTCTTTTTATTTGTTTTAGCGTTGAGGTTGAAAAAGAAACTATATCTTTGTTGAGGTATAAAAATGTATCGCGCGATTTGTTCAGGTTGAAATACACTATTTTCCCAACATATTTAAGGGGTTTTTTAAAGTGTGTAAGTTGTTTAAGTTATAGCTATAGATTTAATTACTTTAGAATTTTGGCTGTAACTGTAGCTTTTAGTGATATAGAACTTGGGCTGTAAGTTTATTAGTTGTAACTAAAAATTATGATTAGTAAATATTTAAATTTTGTATTTATAAATTATATTTTCTTAAATTATAAAATTGTATATTATAGTTAAGAAAATTTTTTAATAGCAATTATATGATAAAAAAAAACACAAATGGTATCATGCATATATAGGCTAAATGGAATCTATATAAACATATAAATCATTTGTACAAATGTATAGAATATTTTAATGTTACGAGACTATCCATCTACATATATATATTGAGAATAGTGGCTAATGTGCATATATAATATAAATATCACAAAAAAAAAATTCGTGGGAAAATAAAAAAACAACCTACATGATCACTTAAAAAGGAAAAAATGTTAGGCTGTAGGAAATACAAGATTTTCATCCTTTGACAAACAACATTTCAAAAAAAAAATGTTGCTAATTATGTTAATTTAACTAGGCAATGAGTGGATTTTAAACTAATTACAAAATATGCTTAACCTGGCCTAGAGACAAAACCTTGCCAAAAAAAACAAGGTGGAGCCTAGATTAACAAACAAGGAGAAAAGGATCGCACTACAAGAAATATGTTCATCGTTAGCGCGAAAAATATGTTATCGTACATATAAGATAGCGAATTCACAAATGCTATGACATCGGCAGCTATGGTAGGTACCATCCATACGATAGCATTTTTTGTCATGTTGCATGCTGCATTAGCTCGATGAAAGCTTTCATTTTCCTTTTAGCTAAGATTGTGGCGCAAACTAAACGGTTTGTTTTGTTGAATCTCTTCTGAAGAAGAGGAGATGCCGCTATGAAGCCTAAAATTGCGCTCTTGCCAAATGTTATAGATTACCAAATACGCCACCAGCCATCGAAGAAGCTGAGGAGCTGAGATGATCGAGAAGGAGAGGACTAACACATGGAGAGAGCCATCCAAGGGTGAAAACGGAAGGGTATGTTTCTCTGGCGGTGAAGCACAAGGACCAAAACCTGACTGCTTGTCTCACATGTGAGGAGAGATGGTTTCTGGTTTCTTCCTAGGTGTTTGGAGTGTTCAGTCCCCAATTGGCGAGGCGAGACCGTTATAGTCCACAATGTGATAGGCTGGTTAGAGACTAATTTTAGATGTCATCCTAAAATAAAATAATTAGTATTGAGTTATAGTCCATTTACACATGAATATATAATCATTTTGAATTATTAATTATTATAGACATCCAAGTAATGACATCCAATTCCAAGTAAACGTCCGCATACAAGTCAGGGCATGATGCCCGCCGAGTTAACGACTAATGTATTTTAGTACTTGTAGTAAAATAAGAAATTTATCATGCGATAAGATAAATATTTTAAAAGTAAATATACATCGACTAGATATTGTCCAACACGGATAGAAAAGTCCCTTTCTGTATAAACACGAAGTTAGTGTACACGACTACGAGTGTGGATTCCTATGTAAAATTGGTACACGATTAGATCTTAAGTTTTTTGTGCCACGTTTATTTTTGTCCACCACACATTGAGTCGGTATTTATTGAGTTAACAAAACAGTTGGATGATTTCTGCATGTCATGACTAAAATAAAAAGACTTGCCGATATATATAGTAAACTAGTAATATTAATGTCCAATTGTGGATGAAAAATTGGTACGTGTCCAATTTTGGTTAGCGTATAGCCTTATACATTAATTAGTTTTTTTTAATGTACTAGGCTACTAGCGAAATATAGTTGGGTTACGTTATTGCCCGTCCCTATCAAACAAAAAAAATTAGACGGTCCATAATTGTGATAAAGAGATTATGACATTCTAAGTCTAAGCTATATCTTTTCTTTTCCCTCTTTTTAAAAAACATTTATGTGGACAATGTTATTTTGTGACACACTAAGTAACAACCTTTCGCACTTTACTTGTGAATTTGGGTGTTTAAATCCAATAATTAAGCTTTTAGAGTATGTATAATGAGAATCTCTCACCATATATAATCTTTCACACAAAATTTTTATAATAATATATAAATGAGAAACTTTCTCAATTTTTTTTAGATTCTTATAATTAAATAATATTATTTACTATTTGATTATTATTTTTTTAGGTAAGAGATTTTGGTGAGAGAGTTACCAATACAAATACTCTTAAATATTCCAAATTAGCTGCCAAATAAAGGAAAAGTTAGAGTGAGTATGAGAGAGGTTTGTGAATTGTGGTTAGTGGTTAGGGATTATAGCCATATAACATTACAGTCTTTATTTTTACTTTCTTCATTTTATATGTTTTTTGCCAAACACTTTCTTGTTTTGTTGAAACAAAATATTTTAGGTTGTCGATTCCTGGATTTTCATTTCTGTTTTATCTTTAGTACACGTTTTCTAGATTAGCTTCTTTTTTTTTTTTTAATCAAAGGACATTTTTTAGATTCACGATATTTGTATATACCATTTTGTAACTCATAGGAAACTTGAATATTTACTTAGGATGAGCAAATGATAATGAACGATAAAATACAGTATACTTAGTAACGATTTTATATGGTGTTATGTCATATAAAAGCCTACATAAGGCAAGAAGTTAATAAATACATCCTTTTTCCATTTCACATGCACAAATCATTCATTAGGATTCAATTATAGCTGCGAGCCTTATAATTAAGGTTTTGTGATTTGATCTTAAATATAGTGTAGCTAGGTTAAAAATAAATTTAGAAAGAGCTTGATCATAATTCATTTTTTTTTAATGATTAAGATGTTTTAGGTCTAGACCCGTACATTCCTTTAGGGTAGAGAGTAGAGTTCATGGCATTTTATATGGTTCACTTCCAAGTGTCACTCGAACCAACAACCTCTAAAATTTGCATGAATATATTTTACCAGTTAAGCTATTGACATTTGGTACATAATTCATATTTAACTCCGGTTTTTTTTTTATATACGAGGCCTTTAATTTCAGCTATATAGATATTCAAAAGTGAGCATATATTTTTAAGGCTTTTGTTTTTGTTGTTATCTTTTCAGAAAAACTTCTTCTAAAATGTTACTTGCGTTTATCTTTTGTGTCTCTTATCTCTGGATCTCTTATCTCTTCCAGAGATAAGTCCATGAGCAGTTATAGAAGGAGAGAAATAGAAAACGAGTACAGCGAGAGTCGTGGTTCATGTGTTATCAAAAGGGAAAATGTCCAAAGTCTCTTAAAATTTTAATAAATTAAGGACCATATATATTAGTTTTTAGAAGTTAATACAACCAGAACCGTGTTTCACGTGTTATCAAAAGGGAAAATTTCCATGGGATTTTAATAAATTTCCAAATCTTAAATATATTTACATATAAATTAGTTTTTTTATTTTTATTTTGTAAGTTAATACAAGTATAACACATAAGAACTAAGAAGCATAAGGAGAGTACACCAATTCAGTGAAACAGAGGGAGAGACTTACTTTTATAAAAAAAAAAGAAAGAAAAAAAAACAGAGGGAGAGAGTTGAATGAACTTGAACCACCAGGTCGAGAGGAAGGACTCGCCTAATTGTGGTATATATTTGTGAACACAAATCGGAGTCGGTAAAAATATGGAATCCAATGTCCAAGCAGATTATATATTTCTCCTCTATATTATATAAGATTTTAAAGCATAATATATTTTAAAAATTAGTCTTGTTGAATTTTACTTTTAACTGCCATTTATTTATTATTAATAATTAGTTTGCTATATAATTTCGTGACGTCAAGAATCTCAAGATAGTTAACACTAACAGGTCCTATTCTTCCAGCCTGGTAAGTGAAGGAGTACGAGAAAAACATGGGCTCCTTAATTAATAACTTAATTCATCATATAAAGTTTTGTCTTTTTGTGGTACAAATTAAATTAAGTTTTCCTCTGTTAACTTCGTGTTCTCGTATCTAAAATATATCAGATTTAAAGAAACTTTAGCTTGATTTTTTTTTTTTTTTTTTTTTACATCTTTGGATCGACAAGGTCCGATCCATAGCCAATCCCTACTACGCGGGGTAACGCGACTTAGTGGAGTCGAACTCCGGTGGGGAAAGCGGAGTCAAATAGACTTAACTACTTGACTAAAGGCACATCCCCTTGATTATACATTATATATTTGTATTCATACGATTAAAAATCTAGGAGAGCAAGACTATAAAAAGATACTGAAATAAGAGTTCCTATATAATATTTTTCATTGTACCACTATCTTATCAAAATTTCGTAAGACACATTCCTATTTTGAATAATTTGGTGAAACTTAATATATAATTTCTACTATAGAGACAGTTTTTTTTTTTTTTTTTTTTTGAAAAAGGTTTGGGGCCATTTTACAAGTTCTCAAAAAAAATTTGAAATAATGTTTTCTTAACAACGAAAAATATATTTTATTAGGGCAGCATGTTTTCAGTTCTATATAAACCCATTGATAGTACCTTTTGCAAAACAAAGAGATCATTCCACAGTCCTACAAATAAAGGAAACATACCACTGAAAATTTTGAAGGATGGAACCAACTTCAAACCCAATCTACTCTCAACACGTGGCCGTGATTGGAGCCGGAGCAGCCGGTCTCATAACAGCTAGAGAGCTCCTTCGTGAAGGTCACACCGTCGTCGTCTTTGAACGGGAGAAAGAAGTGGGAGGTCTTTGGATCTATTCACCTAAAACCGAATCCGACCCGCTTAGCCTAGATCCGAACCGATCCATAGTACATTCGAGCGTCTACGACTCTCTTCGAACCAATATCCCGAGAGAAAGTATGGGTGTCAGGGACTTCCCGTTTTTGCCACGGTTCGATGACGAGTCAAGAGACCCGAGACGCTATCCAAATCACAGGGAAGTTCTTGCGTACCTTCAAGACTTTGCTAGAGAGTTTAAAATAGAGGAGATGATCCGGTTCGAGACCGAGGTGGTTCGGGTTGAACCTGTTGACGGGAAATGGAGTGTCCAGTCCAAAAAATCGGGAGATAGTTCCAACGATGAGATCTTTGACGCCGTTGTGGTTTGCAGTGGACATTATACAGAACCAAACGTCGCTCATATTCCTGGTAAAAATCAATTTCTAAAGACTTATTTTTCATTAAAATATATGTTTTTTTCTCACCTATTTTTTTTTTGTTAACATTGTATAAATAAAGACTTGTTTTTTTTAATTAAAATAACTTTTTTTTTGTTAACAATGTAGCTTTTTCTTGTTTTTTTGATAAGATGTGTGAATATATAATGAAACCCAGTTAATGATATGAATCATTTGCCACTGCTAGATTTTGGATTACAATTTTCCACATACACACTGTTTGAGCTTGATGAATTACTTAAGACTTCAATCCAATATATGAACTAAAATTCAGAAATATGTTTATCTTTAGGTATAAAATCGTGGCCAGGAAAGCAGATCCATAGCCACAACTACAGAGTTCCTGGTCCATACGAAAACGAGGTACTTTTTTTTTTTAAAGAAGTTTGTTTGTTTGTTTTTTTTTTTCCTTTGATAATTCTCTTTCTATTAGTGTTTTATTTCTTCCTATTATTGTAACTAGAAACGTGTTAGCAACTTTCTTGTCGGCTTTATTTCCCTTTTATTTATTGGTCGGCTAGCAACTTTCTTGTCTCATTATCCGATTTAGATTTTTGACTTAGTTTAATCCAACGATCATATGTCGTTAACTATTCCAGCTAGTAATTTTTATTTACATCTTTCCTTATTCACTACTCATCAATATTACAGCTATATAATTAGTAATAACAAAAAACGATAGAATAAAACCAAGTTATATGATGATCAAAGTCCAAATGAAAAAAAAAAATAGAAAATAAGAAAGAAAGCTGTATATTTCTAAACTTTTGATTCCAAATAGACAAATACTATTATCTTTATTTTCTTAAAACCAATAGCCAAACACAATCAAACGATTTTAATATCTAAAGTTACCAAATTTAGTCATTTTAATTTCTTTTTGTTATCAGATTTAGATATCTCTAATTTCTATTATATAAAAATGCATTATTTCGATAGAATCAGAAAATTAAATAAAAATATAAATCATTAATTTACATGACCAAAAAGTTTTTCCAGCTTTTTACTCGGCATTTACTCATCAACTAATAGAAAAAATTTATAAATATATCTAGCATTTACAATTAATTATATAAGAACTTTATCTGTTATCTACTTAGATAATTTATCTGGATAAATAAACAAATATATAATTTAATCTATTTAAAACATCAAAATAATTTCATGTAATTGTTAAATTTAAATTTAATATTAAGATTTGGCAAGTCTTCAAAATATAGTCAAACTCAACAAGTTTATATTGTTTCAGTGATTAACTATTTACTCACAATACATATATCAAATATATTAATTTTAATGGAACAAAAATTTAATATTATTTTTTAGTATACAATTTAACCCATCCATGGTAAGGGATTATACCTAATAGTCCTTTAAAATGTAAGATCGCAAATAAATAGCAAGTAAAAACCACCATTCAACATGACCACCAAAACCGTCTAAATGCAGAGTTTTTGAGTATAAAATCTAGATGGAAGACTGTTCTGACGAGATGCTAATTTGTTTTGATAAATGATATTATTTGAAATATTTACATATATTTTTTTAATGCATAAAACTCTAAGTATAAAATTTTGTGTGTGGAAAAACGCCATCTCAGCTCACTAGCTACCTCAAAATTATGTGTAGTATCACTAACATGCAAGAAATGTTCATAATCGTCCATCATAGATTCCTGTATGATCTGCATCTTTGTGTTGATACGTTGGCAGGTGGTGGTAGTGATCGGAAATTTTGCAAGCGGTGCTGATATTAGTAGGGACATAGCTCAGGTCGCTAAAGAAGTTCATATTGCGTCTAGAGCGAGTGAATCTGATACATACAAAAAGCTTCCCGTGCCTCATAACAACCTATGGATTCATTCCGAGGTAAAACATACTATTTTTTATTTATTTAAGCATGATGTTAATTATAATATACATGAGATTTCATCTTAAAGCCAACTAACCAATGAAAGTACGTATTTGAAACCTTTCTTTTGATATATTGTAGATAGACACCGCCCATGAAGATGGGTCAATTGTTTTTAAAAACGGGAAGGTGGTATATGCTGATAGCATTGTGTATTGCACTGGGTATATATTTGTTGTTTCGGTATTTATGCTCATAGGTAGCAACATTTTAAATGTGAAATGTGCTACTGATTTACCGTATGGTCGTTCTATATGTGTAGATATAAGTATCACTTCCCATTTCTTGAAACCAATGGCTATATAAGCATTGATGAAAACCGCATTGAACATCTATACAAGCATGTTTTTCCGCCCGCGCTTGCACCTGGTCTTTCTTTCATTGGTTTACCAGCGATGGTTAGTCTCAAACAAAATTTGTATCTTCGGGTTTCGAGTTCAAGTCTCACTTGGTTTTTGATCTTTAAATCAGGGTATACAGTTTGTTATGTTTGAAATCCAAAGCAAATGGGTGGCAGCAGTCTTGTCAGGACGGGTTAAACTTCCCTCACAAGATAAGATGATAGAAGACATTAATTCGTGGTATGCATCGCTTCATGCGTTAGGTCTTCCCAAAAGATATACACATAAATTGGGTAAAATTCAGGTGAGTCCGTTCTATTTTTGTTTCACGTTTACATGTAGAAAAAGAATTCAAAAACATACTTCACATCTCACTATAAAGCCTTTTTTAAGTTTATGCAAACGGAAGGCTTTGATTCCTTGTGCGATTTGACTTTTTGGATATACAATAACAAAGAATTTTTAAGAACTTTAAAATTGTTTGCTGAATGTGATTGATGAATGTTTTTAAGAAAGTACACTAATATAAAATCAAACAATCAAATACATATTATTGACTTAAGAATAACATCGTCAATGACTTTTTGAGAAAATTTATTTCTTTTTGCAGTCTGAGTACCTGAATTGGATCGCGGAAGAATGTGGTTGTCCGCTCGTTGAACATTGGAGAAATCAACAAATCGTCCGCGGATACGAGAGACTTGTCTCCCAACCAGAAACTTATAGGGATGAATGGGACGACAATGATCTTATGGAAGAAGCTTACGAGGAATTTGGTAGGAATAAGTTAATTAGTAAGAATGGATTCTCTTCCTTTCAGGGTTGATTGATTAATTATACTGCAAAACTATCAAATGCTTTGCATAGGAGGATTACCTCTAAGGCATGATGCCCTTATATTGTTATTTTTCTTTGCGTTTGCTTTTGTTTTTGTTTATTGTTTCTTTTTGTTTGCATTTGCGTTTGTTTTTGTTTTGGTACTTATGTTAATCGGAAGTCTACATTCATTGTCATTTTAAGGTTGCATTTGCGTTTAGATGCAGAATAAAAAGAAGAAGATTTTTACTGTGTACATTTGAAGTCTACACAAATATTTTTCCTAGTTTACAAATAAATGTGTTATACTGTATTATCATTTGTTTTTGTAAGATTTAGAGCAAAGATGTAACATTTTTTCAACCTTAAAACCGGAATAACCCAAGTCTTGAAGTAGTTTGATTCGAACTAGAAGATAACACACGAAATCAAAGAGAACTATTTTCTTATCAAAAATTAAATAAAAGAGAATAAAATGTCTAGAAACTGATGGACACGAGAAATGAGAGAAGAGACGACGAGCACACAAGAGTTCATATGAGTTCAGTGATGTCAATATGACACCACTGACTTCTCATCGAGACCTTTGGCTCGACATTCACGAGAATCAAGTAGATTTTTCAAGTGATTACACTTTATGAAAACGCTCATTGGCGCACACACTTAGTTTTTTTTCTCATGTTTATCTCCGACAAAACACATAAAGTTTACATCTTTAAACGATGGTCTTCTCTCTATCTCTCTCAAGCAACCGTAGCTCTCATTTACATGGTGAGCAATTTTGGATCTTGCGCAGCCGCCTTGAATCTTCAAATTTAATTATACACACAATCATGTGGATAGAAAGCATGATTCATGGAATCATGGTTAACTACTACTATAGATGATAGGTCCCAATCAAGAGCTAAAAGACAATGATACAAACGGTTTCTGATAAATAATTCTCATAATCTTTCTTATTGAGTTCTCACGGTATTTATAAGAAAACACCACATGATTTGAGTCTATCTAGTCCAACAAGAATAAAGAGAAGATAATCATAAAAGCAATAATATCCTAATCAAATTAAAACTATAAAACCAAAACCATAAATTGTATGGGCCGGTCATGTTTCATGAGCCCATCAATAGACTTAATAATATTGCAAGATTACTCGATTCTTTGACCAAGCCTAACTTTTTTGTTTGTTTGATAATCAATACAATAAAAACAATAAGAGTCTCTCCAGGTCCGACACCTCAGCTTTTTCAGCTGTTCTCAGCTTGACACCTCAGTAAAATCGATACCCAATCAAAACATTTCAAATAATACAACTCAGTTTTGTCTTCCAGTAATATCATTCTATTTTTCCACGTCACTCGTTCTCTAGAGCAAATATCAAAATAAACATAGGCCTACGCCCATCCAAATTAATAGCCTATCTACTTAACATTTTTGAAGTACATATTTGCTCAAGCTAATCGGGTCGGGTTTTAATTGATTTTGACCCGGAAATCTTCAATCGGATCTTTCCTAAAATTATGGCAAAATTTAAAAACGAAAATACCTAATAAAATCTAATATATATATATATATTTCTCAACTAATTACTATATCTAAACTCTTTATTTATGGTATATTCTTTACAATTTTATAGATTAGGAAATCAAATATGATAATTTAATACTAATATAACAAATTTGAGCTAATTTCCTAAAACTTCTCTACCTAATTTAAACATAAATATATGATTTTCATTTCACTTTTATTTGATTTTATATTTATATTATTTTGAATTATTATAAAATATATATAGTTAATAAATTTTAGTTTTTTTTTCTGCATATGTTATAATTCAAATTTTTCAAAACAGACATATATTACTCAATCGATGAAGAAAAAAAGTATGATTTTAAGAATAAATTGCACATTTAATCAGGTCTTTTTTTATATTCTAATCCGAAATTGAGTCATTAAGATCTTTTTTTAATTCCTACAATTATCTAAAACGGGAGAGTATACCACGGGTGAGATCCTAAAATTAACAAATCAAAATACAATTATTTAGTATTTCAAGATACAATTATAAATTGTTTTTACGGGTTGGTCCAAAAATACATACTAATTTAAAAATATATATATATTATGGAAACCATTTGAAAGTAAACTTTTAAATTGACTCGAATTATATGTCTTTTAAATAAAAGTGTTATTAAAAAAAATAACAAAATGATGTTTAATTCCATAGGACAGGAATATATGGTGGGATGGTTTGAGTCGATATTAATACGGGACAATATACTACGGGTGAAATCCTAGAATTAACAAATCAAAATTTAATTATACAATCTTAAACAGTAAACAAAAAAATACAACTTAAAATTTTTATTTTTTATATACAACGCATGTGACCCGTGGTGTACAACAAAAAATATTATACACAACAAATTCATCAGTTTATAAAAAAATAAAAAAATCAAATAATTAACCCGCGGTACACGGGTCATATGCTAGTTTAGAAGACAAAAACGTGTAAAACCCTTGGATTTTAAGAAACGTTTTTGCAAGACGGAGAAGACGATGATCGAGATTGAGATTTCTAAATTCGTTTGGCACTTTTTGTATCAATTTTTTAAGAAGAACGAAGAAGAAAAAAGAAGAAGAAGAAGAAATAAGAAACTGTCACAAATCGACTCTCCTTACATCTCCGGTAAATTTTTCCTCTTTCTCTCCGGCGGTTTCAGGCTGCTTTTGTTGGATTCTGTCTAAAACTGGTCTAATGATTCAATTCCTTCAATATTTGGCGGATTCTATGCCGTGAATTGAAACTTGGGTTTGCGAAAACAATCACACATTTGCAATTTTGTTAAATTTAGCCTTTTGTCTTTATGATCATTCTATTTGGTCGCCGGCGTTTTCATTTGTTTTTTCCGTTCTGTTCTTCTTTACTTCTCTTTGATTGACCTTTGTGTTGACGATTAACTATATGGTACATCTTTATCTCAAGAAATATATATTTGTAAAGTTTATGGTCATTGATGCAAAAAGTGAAACTTGATTAGTTATAGTCATTGGTGTAAAGGTATGTGAATCATTGATGGTGTTATACAAGAGAATCAACTAAGTAATTTTCACTGAATTCATCCCTAAAGCTTCGTGAGAGAAGGTTTTGAGGAAAGATTTGAGGGGAAAATTAGCAAGTTGTGATGATTTCAACCAAAGCAAAAGTTAATTTTATTGTGTATATATACATACAACTTTATGAGCCAACGAGGGAAACAAACTCATATGAACCATTGTTTTTTGTAGTTGTTGTTGATGGTCTTGCTTGATTCATATAATGAGCCTTTTGTGATGAATGTGGTGTCTTCTTTGGTTTCATGTAACTTTGCTGGAGAAAAACAACACACTTTTTTAAATATTTTTTTGGTTTTATTAACATGTATCATTTTTGTGACCGACTCATACATACAATGTTTTTTGTAATTTGCAGATTTTAGCTAATATTTTCTCATATGATCAGCTGCATCTTTTGCAATTTCATTGACAAGATAACATTCTGCTACTTCAGCTATCAACATGGCTATCTTCGCATTCATCTTTTTAGCTTTCTCTGCCCTCTTATCCGGTTACAAGCTCTCCACTCATTCTTTTATCTAAATCTTTTTTTGCCATAATGTGCTTTAATAGTCTTATACCATGGTGATCTCTATTATCCGAGTAAATGTGATTCTTTTATGTGGTCATATAGCTGATACTCATTCAGGTATGTGACTCTTTCTGTGTACGTGTAAAGACATGGTCCAAGAAATCAGAATTGAATGATTAGTGTATGATACATGAAAGAATTTGTTGCATTAGTTTTCTTTCTTCTTCTGAATTGAAGTTGCATATTTGGCTTTGGTCTTGCAGCCATCATGGATTTAACTACAAGGTTAAAGAAATCGTAGTTGGTGAAATCATGGATTTAACTACAAGGTTAAAGAAATCGTAGTTGGTGAAATCATGGATTTGAAAAAGATCCGTGTGGACAATGAAAGAGAAGGGGTGAGCTACCATCACTTTCAAGATACGTTATAAGATGTGTTCCTTTATGTAGGATAGCTTATTACCTACTCTCAAATCTCGAACTAAAGTTCATGATCACAAACATTAACATTGAACATAAAAATTGATGAAAAAAAAAAAACAATTCCTTCCTCAATTGAGAAGTCACTAATAGACTAAAAGTTATTCACATCTTCTAACTGAAAGTCTTCCCTATGATATATATGATTCAAACCTAACAGAATCATATGCAAAATCTAAATCTTCCTAAACATAAATATATCTCTTAAAGACATATAAACCCATATCGGTGAAAAGGAAAGAAATTGCAAAAACATGTCTCGAGCTGGGTTTCGATTATTTGTTTCCGGTGATGAAGAAAAACCCAACTCGAATCAAATGAGCCAATAAAGTAAACAAAACGAGAGCTTGAGAGTTTTATTCTCTTTTCTCAACATCGTATAAACACTCCAATAAAGTCACTAATCCTCTTGAATGTTTAAAAGAAACATATGTTATCGAGCATGATTATAGACTATATAAAAATATAGTCTTAAGTATGTTTTCATCTGAATTAAAATTTAAATATAATTTAAGAAAAGTATCCCGTAGCGTAGCGCGGGTTTTAAACCTAGTTATGTTAATTTCATTAAGGAATGCATGCCAAGAAACAAAACCTTGCCAAAAAAAAAAGATAAAACAAAGGTGAAGCCTAGATTAAAAGACAGGGGAAAAAGGATCAGATGAGCTAATGATGTTGTTCGTTTGTTCATCTAGATGAACCATCTTGATATAGATGATAAATGATATTTGTTTAGTGCAATTAAACACAGCATCATACAAGTGGACCAAATTAAAAAATCTAGATGAGTTTAATTGGTGCATTCAGATGGAGATTATTCTTTAAAAATTTCTAAATGTCTAAAATACCCTTATTTACAATCATATATCAAATAATATTAATTTTATTTTATAGATTTCTCATTTTTTTATTTTAAAAATAACATATTTGCATCAAAATATTTTTTTAAAAATTGTAAAATCACATCTTATCATTTTTTCGTCAAAATTATAGTTTTTTTACCAAAAAAAATACTGTTTTCCATCAAAATTGTTTTTGTCGAATTGTATTTTTCGCCAAACTTTAAATGAAGATTTTGGCCTGAAATTTGCAGAATACCATTTTTCACCAATGATGCACCAGCCGTCGAAGTTCAAAATATAGTTATAATTTTATTAATTGATTATGTCTAACATAATTATGTTTGCTAAATATACTTTCTATTTTGTCATGATCGTAGTTTATAAAGTCATAAAATATACTAGTTGAATGTTAATATGTTTGATGGATATATATATTTTTACACAAGTTAATGTACATGAATAAACCAGGATCCCTATAGTTGATATAGGACAATTTTATTGTTGGATCCCCTAGCTATATGATTACTATGTTGCCATGTATTTGTGGCACGTTTATTTGTGACCACCATACATTGATTTTTGTTTGATTGAAGTTGGGTAGGAAAACAGGTGAATTACTTTCAACGTGCCAGAACTAAAATGAAAAGACTTCCCAAGCTAAATAGTAAACTATAATTACTGTAAAAAAAGTTAACCCCAGAAATCACATATAGCATCGTACCAATTAACTAAAAGATCCGACCCTTTGTATTTATGTGTCTACAGTCTATTAGTTGAAGAAAAGTTGGTTGAATTCAGTTTGGTTACTCCATAGTCCATACGCAGAACATCAACTAAAACCATAATTAGCTAATTAAGAATTGTGACATATTCATAACAAATAAAACTTGAATATGTATACATTGATTTTTGAAATTTTTGCAAATGATATTGGTAACAACGAAATCTAATGAGTAATGATTTTTATATAAAAATAATGTATGTAATCAACGAGGTACGAACTTTCTTTATCAACGATGTATGTAATCCATTACTTTCCGAAGGATTGTCTTTTTTCCTTGTCCACAAAAACATTTACTGTAGATAATTACGTGCTGTCGCATCTCCACCAAGATTCCTACCTTACAAATTCCACACATGTTTTCTCTTTCTCCTCCAACCTATTTCACTAGTTTGTCTAATGTGTCTATTTTACTAATGTGCAATGTGTAAATTAACTTTCTTCTCTATTTTACTAATGTGTCTACAACACTATATAAATAAGGACTAATTAACAAACTAGACTTTTTTATTTTTTTTCTTTTCAAATAAACTTATATTAATAATTATCCTAAATTGGTATTTCGGTTTTTGCTCATCGGGCTAAACAGTTACAAAAAAAGGCCGAAAAAATTTAGTGACAATACCGATCGAAAAAGAGATCTGACTTCGACTGCACATCGGAAGCTGAGGATCCCCTTTGAAAACCTCTTAAGAACTTCTAATGTAGCTGCCACATAAGACACATATTTCTTTATAAATTGTTCACAGGGGCAGAGCTAATCAATGGGTAGGGGGTCAGTTGACCCCCATAAAATTTGCAAATTTTTTAAATATAAGTTAAGTTACCAATAATTATGAGATGTTTTGCTATAATATTTCCATGTTGACCCCTATGCCATATGATCATTTTCTACTTTTGACCCCATTCATATTCTTTTTTATTTAACATTAATTTTCTTTCTATTTTTGTTATGTGTTTTCCTAAGGAATGATTATAAAATATCTAATATCTTCTTACATATTGATAATTTTAGTCTTATTAGATATCCTGTTTTATTTTTTTCGTACCTTGTTTTCAAAATTCTTACATATATTTTTGTAAAAGGTCATAAATCAAGATAAATACAACAACTAATTAATCTCCACAATATACCATAGATATTATAAAATTAATTTTGAGAAAAAAAATACTTAACATAACTGAAAGTAAAACAAAAATATGAACTAGGCGTATCATTTATTGAAAAATGAAGCATTTTGAAAAACTTATAATAAAAAACTTAGTTTTAGTTTTAGGTGAAATTTTTTTTCTCTAGACCATTTAAACAATAATTTATACTTTAAATATATAATTAAATAAATTAATTAAATAACCCCTATAAACAAAATTTCTGGCTCCGCCACTGATTGTTCATATATTATTATGATAATTCAAATCCATAATAGTTTAAAAAGTTAATTATATATCACAAAATAAAATGATCTATCTTATAAGTTCCATTATGCATGACTCTTTAACACTAAAATAAAGTAAAAAGAATAATAGTATATTGGTGAGAATGTGGTATTTATATGTTGCTTGACGCTGGTGCTTCTTATACACAAACCAATTATTGAAATTTGACATAAATGGCACCAGCACAAACCCAATCACTTCTAAACACGTGGCAGTGATCGGAGCCGGAGCAGCCGGTATCATAACGTCTAGGGAGCTCCGTCGTGAAGGTCACAGTGTCGTTGTGTATGAACGGGAGAAACAAGTTGGTGGTCTTTGGGTTTACACACCTAAATCCGACTCCGACCCACTTAGCCTTGACCCGACCCGATCCAAAGTCCACTCTAGCATCTACGAGTCTCTCCGAACCAATGTCCCGAGAGAAAGTATGGGTGTCAGGGACTTCCCGTTTTTGCCACGTTTTGATGACGAGTCAAGAGACCCGAGACGGTATCCAAATCACAGGGAAGTTCTTGCGTATATTCAAGACTTTGCTAAAGAGTTTAAAATAGAGGAGATGATCCGGTTCGAGACCGAGGTGGTTCGGGTTGAACCGGTTGACGGGAAATGGAGAGTCCAGTCCAAAAAATCCGGCGGGTTCTTGAAAGATGAGATCTATGACGCCGTCGTGGTTTGCAATGGACATTATACTGAACCAAACATTACTCATATTCCTGGTAAAGATCAATTTATAAATAATTAATTTTAAAACAAATTAGTTTTCTCACCTTTTTATTAATAACCATGTAAAAGTTTTTTGCATTTTACAAATTAATTTTAAAGTTTAGGTCACACAGTCAGTGATTAGGACAAGATATATGAATCAATTTCTAAAATGCAGTGACGATTAGAGCTTCTTTTTCAGTCTGACTATTAGACTAAGTTAAATGTTTTGTTTCCGTATTATTTTAAAAGTCTAAAATAAATGTCTACATCAATAATTGAATAGTTGGTGTTTTTTTTTTTACATGAGATTACATAGATCAAAGTAAAAGCTAGAGATCAATTATCAAAAATGTCTATTTGGCCACAATAGGATTTTAGTCTCTGGCATTGAGCTTGACTTAAGACTTCAATCTAAAATTTTCAAAAAATTTTTTCAAAATTCTCATTTCAAGAAAACGCTTAACAAAAATATGTTTATCTTTAGGTATAAAATCGTGGCCAGGAAAGCAGATCCATAGCCACAACTACAGAGTTCCTGATCCATTCGAAAACGAGGTAATTAATTTTAATTTTAATCTTGGAAGTAAACGCATTATTCGTATGCATTTAGAAAACGCATTTTTGGTCCCCAAAATTTCATGTAGTTTTACTTATACCTATCTATCATTACCTATACTCGCACATATAAACAAACACTTGTCTACATAATCGCCCCTCAAACAAGGTTTTGTTAGAAATGTTCGGGCTAATTCTATATCATAAATTCATTTACGATCTACATTTTTGTATTGATATTTTTGGTAGGTGGTGGTGGTGATTGGAAATTTTGCGAGCGGTGCCGATATTAGTAGGGACATAGCTAAGGTCGCGAAAGAAGTCCACATTGCGTCTAGAGCAAGGGAACCCCACACATTCGAAAAGATTTCCGTTCCCCAGAACAATCTATGGATGCATTCCGAAGTAAACTTAAACTAAACTTAAACTTTATTTAATCGAACAATATAACATTCATGGAATTTCACTTAAAACCAATTATAAAGTTAAAGTAATTGATTTTCTCCTTTGATATATCGTAGATCGACACAACCCATGAAGATGGGTCGATTGTTTTCAAAAACGGGAAGGTGGTATTTGCTGATAGCATTGTGTATTGTACCGGGTATATTTGCTTGTTATCAGTATTTTTATGCTCAAAGATAGCAAGATTTAAATGTGAAATGTGCCATTGATTTACCTTTTGTTTTTGGTCTATGTGTGTAGGTACAAATATAACTTTCCATTTCTTGAAACCAATGGCTATTTGCGCATTGATGAAAAACGCGTTGAACCTCTATACAAGCATGTCTTTCCACCCGCGCTTGCCCCCGGACTTTCTTTCGTAGGTGTACCAGCAATGGTTAGTCTCAATCAAATTTTATTTTTTGAGCTTCCGATTTCACGTTTCGCTATAGTTTTGATCTTTGATTTTCTTTTTTTCAGGGTATAGTATTTGTTATGTTTGAAATCCAAAGCAAATGGGTGGCAGCAGTCTTGTCAGGACGTGTTACACTTCCTTCACCAGAAAAGATGATGGAAGATATTAATGCTTGGTATGCATCGCTTGATGCGTTAGGTATTCCCAAGAGACATACACATACGATAGGTAGAATTCAGGTAAGTTCGTAATATTCCGAATATGGCTACATGCATATCTTATATATATCGAGATTGTTTCAAACATCGATTTCTATATTTATGTTTGCATGTGAAAAAATATTTAAAAAAATTCACTTGTTTTAATTATAAATCTATTGGGCTAAATGGACTTAATTAGCCATTTTCATGTTTAATAAATGGTTAATTAGGCGATTAGGTAGAACTCTATTCACGAGCTCATGCCTTATAGAGTTCGTGAATAGAGTTCGACCTAATCGTCAAATAAGCCATCATTAAACATGAAAAAGGGCTAAACCCATTTAGCCCAATAAAAACCTTTTTCAGATTTATTATTCTGAAAGATTTTAATTAGTGAATTGCTTAAAGTTGTGGATTATTTTTATACACTTAATATGAAATTAAGCTTAAATGTAAACAAACAATCAAAGGCATATTATTTACTCATGAACAATATCATGTCATTATCTTCTTTTAAGAAAACTTAATCTCTCACAGAGGGAGTACCTCAATTGGGTCGCAGAAGAATGTGGTTGTGAACTCGTTGAACGTTGGAGAGGTCAAGAAGTTGATGGCGGATACATGAGACTTGTCGCCCATCCAGAAACTTACCGTGATGAATGGGACGACGATGAACTCATAGAAGAAGCGTACAATGATTTTTCTAGGAAGAAGTTGATTAGTTTTGATCCTTCTTATTACCTCGAAAATGGAAGATGATTTGCGTCAATAGTACCGACTTGATTTCAATAAATTGCTAAACTATTGTAAGCTTTACACAGGAGGGTTAAGGCGTTAAGCTATATAATGTATAATGCCCTTGTTGTTTTATTTTATTTTTTACGTTTGTGTTTGCATTTTTAATCGTTTGGTTAAATTTGTGTTTCCATTTGTATGTGATTTGCATTTTTTAGCATACGTTTAATTTGAGTTTGCATTTTTTAGTCACCTATCGTGGAGGAAAAAATTAATATCAACACAAAAATTGAGACGGTAGTACTTAGTTTGCCATATTAATTTCAGTGCCGTGCCAAGGTCCATGGAGGCTTAAGGCAAATTTTTAAAATGTGGCCTAATATATTTTATTTTTGAGAGAAATTTTTTTTTTTTAATGTAAAAAATAAGGAAATGGTGCTTAATTTTAAAAAATTTCATGAATAAACAAGATTTAGGAGTTAATGAAAAGGAAAAACAAACAAAAATTTCCATAAATATTAAAGATTTGAGATTTCTTTCCAAAAAAAAGTCCTAAAACACTATATGAAAATCAATGATTTGCTTAATTTAGGAAAAATGTGGCCTTTTATTTTTTTAATTGTTGGTGGCCTAAGGCAAATGCCTTATTTTTTACACATGAGTCACGGCTCTGCATATTATGGACCCTAGACAACACACAAATTATAGGCAGATATTGGAAACAAAAATCTGGTCCTATTTATTTCTTTTTTGAGTTTTTCATTTTTTGTTTATTTTATTTTCTCAACTCTCTCTGCTCCTATTTTTTTTTCAAAAAATAGTATGGGGTTCATTTTAGAGAAAGGGAAAACTGATGTCCTATTCACGACTTTACACTCCCATTGCATCCATACCATTCAACTAACGATAGAGCAAGGTGTGGCCAATATCGGCCAAGAATCGCATCTCATTTGATATGTGACCTTTGTTTGATTAATGTCTCTCTTTTTCTGTCGACGACTAATATAGGTTTCTTTTTTTCACCGTTTTATAGATCTCTACTTATTTTGGTTATTTTTTCTTCTATAACTTTAAATCATCCCAGGCTTATTATTACGATATAGTATAGTGTATACTTGTACATACATAGTTTTATACATGTAATCTTATTTAGTATATAAACTACCTTGTATACACATTTACACCTTAATGAGAAATAACAACTTTACCTTCTCTCTCTAAATCTAATATGGTATCAGAGCTTTCTCTCTCCTTCCGCATCACATTTCTCATTCGATTTCTTCGATTTTGAGCTTCGATCTTCATGATCTGAGCTGATTTTTCTTCAATCCGACCATCGATCGTCTCGGATTGCTTTTTATTTCGTTGGATTTGAGCTACTTTTGCTCCGTCTTCTTCGTTTTGTTCTCACGATTTCGTTTTTTGTTGCTTCAATGGCGAATACTGTTGTTTCGTACGATAATCCGTACTATCTCACCAACAACGATCATTCTGGTTTGCTTTTAGTATCAGATCGTCTCACAGGTGCTGGCGATTTTGGATCGTGGCATCAGTCTATGCTCATGGCTTTGAATGGTCGTAACAAGCTGTGTTTTATTGATGGAAGCCTCCCGAAACCCGATGATGGACATAGAGACGCAGCGACATGGTCCAGGGTTAACGATGTAGTACGATCTTGGCTCATAAACTCTGTTTCAAAGACCATTGGCCAAAGTGTTCTATACGTGAAGACTGCACATGGTATTTGGTCAAAATTGTTGCAGAGATTTAAACAAAACAACGTTCCTAGACTGTATCGTGTTGAACAAAAGCTCGCTAATCTACGTCAAGGATCATTAGACGTCAATACTTATTACACAAAACTGGTAACCATTTGGGAAGAAGTGAAGAGTGCACAAGATTTTCCCGTGTGTCAGTGTCATGGTTGTGATTGTGAACTTGAAAGAAAATGGATGGACCTATTTGAAAGAAACTTTGTGATTAAGTTTCTCTTTGGACTGAATGAATCTTATGATCATGTGAAAGAATCGATTATCATGCTTGATCCATTGCCTGATCTAGAGAAAACATTAAACATGGTTATTCAACATGAAGATCAGAAAGGTATTAAGCAGAATCCTCAATCAGGTGCTGTTGTTTTTCAGATGAGTTCACAGGATGTTCAATCTTCTGATGGATCTTTTCAACATGGTCAAGTTTCTGATAATTACTCAAGTCAAAATGAAATTGTTGGAGCTGTCTCAGGAGGGTATAAACATAAGCAACGTCCGGTGTGTACTTACTGTGGTCTTCAGGGTCACATTGTTAACAAATGTTACAAGCTTCATGGCTATCCTCCTGGATACAAGCTTTCTAATCAGTCTTATGGTAGTCAGCAAAATCAGTTTGCTCCTACTCAATCTTATGGTGGACAACAATCTCAGTTTGTTCCCAGACAATTTCAAACTCGTCCTAATGTTCAGTTTCCTCAACAACAATTTGTTCCACAGCAGTATGGTCTACAGTCAAACATTCCCAATGCAAGAATGCAACAGAACAAAGGTCCAAGAGAGAATCTGGTTGGCAATGTAATCACCACTTCTCCTGCAGTTCAAGATCATTTTCATCAGGTTTCAAATGCTCTAGCTCAGCTTTCTTCAGAACAGATAGCACAACTGGCTTCTCAATTGAATACTAAGGCCACTTGTGAAATGCCGAGCATCTCTGAGCAACCTGGTGTCAATTATGCTTCTACTTCTGCAGGTAACTACATTTGCTCAACTCTTGAGGAACCTTGCCTTAATTTTACTGCTTGGATCATAGATTCTGGTGCGACTACGCATGTTTGTTGCAACTTGAGTCTGTTTGCTGACATTAATAGTATCTCAGAAACTACTGTTAAATTACCTAACAGTACTAAGATTGCCATAACTCAATCTGGTACTGTCAAGTTGTCAGATAAGCTTCTTCTCAAAAATGTGCTTTTCATTCCTTCTTTTCATTTAAATCTCATCAGTGTAAGCTCTCTTCTTCAAGATTGTGCATATTCTGTTAATTTTTTCCCTTCCTTTTGCACAATTCAGGAGTTTACTCAGGGCTTGATGATTGGTAAAGGTCGTTTACAGAATAAACTCTATTTCTTGGATTCTGAGTCACAGTCATCACAGTCTCAAGCTTCTTCTCTCATTTGCAATCTCAATAATTCTGACTCCAGTTCTCTATGGCATTCAAGACTGGGTCATCCCTCTTTTTCAAAGATTCAAGCTCTTTCTGAAGATCTTTCTCTTTCCAAAACAAAGCTTAAAGATTGGTCTCATTGCAAGACTTGTCATCTAGCAAAACAGAGGCGTCTTTCTTTTCCTTCTCTTAATAATGTTTCAAAGAACCCTTTTGATCTTGTTCATTTGGATGTTTGGGGTCCTTTTTCTGTTGTCTCTACAGAGGGTTTTAGATACTTTCTAACTCTTGTAGATGATTGTAGTCGTGTTACATGGGTTTATCTTTTAAAATCAAAGAGTGATGTCTTGACTGTTTTTCCCAGCTTTCTTAATCTTGTTGAAACTCAATATTCACAAAAAGTCAAGGCTATTCGTTCAGATAATGCTCCAGAGCTTTCTTTTACTTCTCTTTTAGCCTCCAAAGGAATTTTCCATTATTTTTCATGTGTTGACACACCACAACAAAATTCTGTTGTTGAAAGAAAACATCAACACATTCTCAATGTGGCTACAACACTTCTTTTTCAATCAAATGTGCCTTTAGAGTATTGGAGTGACTGCATTAAAACTTCTGTATACCTTATAAACAGAACTCCATCTCCTTTGCTAAACAATAAAACTCCTTTTGAAATTTTGCTCAAAAAGAAACCACTCTATTCCAATCTTAAAGCCTTTGTCTGTCTTTGTTATGTGTCTACTTATCCTAAGGATAGACACAAGTTTACACCAAGGTCTGAAGCTTCGGTTTTTCTTGGTTATCCTTCGGGTTATAAAGGATACAAAGTCTTAAATCTTGAAACACATTCTATTTCCATTTCTCGCAATGTTATTTTTCATGAAGATATCTTCCCTTTTCAGTCTCTGGAGCTTTCATCAAACACTCTTGATCTTTTCTCTTCCAATATCCTTCCTCTTCCTATACCAGATACTTCTTCTATACATTCACCCATTCCTTTTCCCTCTGAAGTCTTATCTGATAACAGTAATTCATCAATAGATTCTGAGGTTACTATTTCTGTTAATGGAAACAGACCTAAGCGAAACACTCGTGCTCCATCGTATATGAATGATTACCACTGTAACTTGGTCAATCACATATCAAATGACAGTGGTAATACCTCTCATCCTCTGCAATCTGTGTTGGATTATTCAAGACTGAATGATCATTATCAACAGTTCATATTGAATATCTCCTCTGAATCTGAGCCCAAAAATTTTCAAGAGGCTGTTAAATCAGAAAAATGGCATGCTCCTATGAATGAGGAACTTCAGACATGTGTTAATACTGGCACTTTCTCAGTTGTTTCTCTACCAGAAGGAAAACAACCGATTGGTTGTAGATGGGTTTATCGGATAAAACACAATGCAGATGGAACAGTTGATCGTTATAGAGCTCGCTTAGTAGCTAAAGGCTACACTCAACAAGAAGGTGTTGATTACATAGACACTTTTTCACCAGTAGCAAAGCTTGTCACAGTGAAATTGCTATTGGACTTGGCTGCTAAGCATGGTTGGTCTCTAACACAAATGGATGTAACCAATGCATTTTTACATGGCGATTTAGAGGAAGAGATCTATATGGACTTGCCTCCTGGTTATACACCACCTAAGGGAGAAACTTTGCCACCTAATGCTGTTTGGAAGCTACATAAGTCCTTATATGGCCTGAAGCAAGCATCAAGACAATGGTACAAGAAATTTTCAGAAGTTTTGCTGCGAGACGGTTTTCTACAGTCAGAATCAGAACACACTCTGTTTGTTAAATACAATGATGGTATCTTCATTGCCCTACTGGTCTATGTTGATGACATTGTCATTGCTAGTAACAATGATGATGTTGTTTCCCAATTGAAAGCCACTCTTGCTGCAGCTTTT